TAATGTTTAAATTGTAAAACCTGTAACTGGATCTTCCCGAATATTTGTTTTTCTCTGTACAATGTGGACATCATCTGGAAGGTAGCTTAGTCACTTCATTCCCCTGTATCTGGTCCATTTTCCCCAGTTCCCCTTATCACTAATGTGATTGTATGACGAACTCCGAGGGTCAGATATTCCTTTATAGGGTGGACGATGAGTCATCTCACCCTAATTGCTGTAGACTAGTTGTTTCTTCTGTTTGGCCTTGATGAACAGTTTATTTCATGTTTTGGACATTGCTCTCTTAACGTAAAAACAGCCTAGATGAGAAATATAGGTCTACCTAGTATTTTGTTGAAAAGTCGAATAAAAAAAAGCTTTACTCCTTTTGATGGATCAAATAGATACAATTATTATAGTATATAATGTGTATCCAGTTATGTCCAGTCGTGTGTTCTTCTTGTTATTGAGATTGGTACTACAGTATTATTTTTCTTGTTCAAGTATTCTTTGTGGTCTGCTATTATTCTCAAAGAATAAATACAACCTCGTACCTATATAAAAAACTAATCCCTTTCATGTTTGTGATCCTTATGGATCAGATGAAAAAAAGGCAGTTTAAAGTTTTGTTTACGAACCAAAACCGGTTTACGCAGGGTGTGATTTGATGTTTACAATCATTATCTTGGCGTTCTTTGCACTGTCGACTTCGTCTTAGCAAAATATTTAGTGGATACCAACCGTGCGCTCAAGCGTACCTCGTCACTCACATAACTAGTTCGTCATGATCTTACAGGTTTTTACAAGGATAAGATGACTAAGGCAATAATAAATATGCATGACGCGTCGGCGGATCTTACCTAAAAATAGACTACAAACATTGTTGACTATGATAATGTCCATGACTCCTGGCACATCTATTTTATGACTTCGACGTTTTAATATAGATTTGACAACGTCTTTCCCGTCACACTGCAGCAAAACAGCCGGTCTAAAGTAGCTCGTTTACTCCCTAGGGAGTAAAATCAGCTGTTTTCGATTGTAAACAATCGCACGTATCAAAATTATTTATCGATTTATTTAATCAGTTGTGTCTTATTGTAGCATTATTGCCAACAGTTTGACATATCGTTGTTATAATATAGGTACAGTAAGACCACAGATAATATAATTCTGGTTTCCATTGTCTGTGGTTAGTAAATTGTAATGGACTAAATGATCGAATCACTTACTGAACAGCTTTTTGATTGCGTTCAAAATAATTGAATTTGACGAAAAATATTATTCATCACACGGGCAAAAAGTGTCTTTTCAACCTCGCTCATTTTCAGTGAAACTTGAATTCGGGTCGAAAACAGTCACTTACGCCCTAGAAATAATCTATTACACTTCCCTAATAACGTTAAAGGATTCTTATCCTTCAACAACATACACTCCAGTAGTTATTTATCCGCGGCCCAGCTAACTGCTAAATTCCCTCCATATATGGGTTCCCGCCTTGACACAGATTGGACCTGTTCGGTTGTTCCGCGTCCCACTAATCGCTCCGTTTCCGCCCTTCCAGTCTTGTAGGGGAGAATGACTGGGGGTGGATATTGGTTCAGAATAAGTGGAGTTTGGGGCTAGGTCTACTAATTTCGGACAGGCTAATTCGTTGAAGCCAATATCAACTTTATCAGCTTATGAAACAGCTGAAGACAATTTTCGAGGTCGCACTGTCCGGTTAAAGGTGATTTTCGTCACATTTAACGTCTTTAAATTTGTTTTTATTTCAACAAGAATCATATCGAATCCCGTATGAACATTTCTAAAAGAAAAATACCCTAACCCTCTCCTTTACTCAAAACATTAACTATGATAAAATAGAAATGAAGGTGTCGTTGAATGTATACTGTATGTCAAGGCTTCAAAGTACCTTATGTTTGTTAAGGGTGAAAATCTGCAATTATTATAGTTCCTTACTGTACAAACACTTCTAAATACAGTATCCACAAGCTGACATACCTAGTTATTATTTTTTAAACACCTTTTAAATATTTTGTGATAAAAAACAGTTAAGAAAATCCTTTCAATATAAACAATCTAAATTAATAAAATAGGTTTACCCTTTATATTGCATAACAAAGACTGTTTTTATAACATGGTACACTAACGGTACATTTGGAAATACAAGTCACTCAAGTCAGTTATCCAGTGTTAAATTATCGTCCAACATCCAACTCCAACTGTAGCTTATAATTGGCGCGAAATGTAATCTGGTTCTGATGGAAATATATTCAAACCCGCTACGGATTGCTGACGCCAACAAATAATTACACACTTCACGTTGCTCGTTCGATACTACTAATCTCGTAAATTGGACTTGATTGGTGCTATTTGTATTTATGATTGGATTTGGTATAGTAGAATTTACACTTTTGGAGGAATGTCAAAATAATATTAATGTGCACCTACGGTATTTGTGTTTCTGAATCGAGAGACCATGACTGAAACATTATGAACATTTATGTCGTGTCACAGAATACAGAATAAAGTCATTGGGGGACGTTCTAAAAAAATAACCTCTATAAGGCCTTTAAACCTCTATTAAACTCCTTAGACGCTGATGTGTTTGTAAAAGTACTATGAACTCCAAATTAATTGTATGAACCTTTTTATCATGTAGTTGTATCGGTTACATAGACTGTACCAATCACATGGTCATATTAGTCGCAACTAGTGATGTAAAATACCCGGGTATTTAAAACTCGGGGTAAATACCCTGGGTATTTACCCGGGTAAATACCCAAAATCCAGAAATACCCGGGTATTTTGGGTATTTATGAAATCAATTGAAATTCATTTATATTTACCCCTAAATATGTTATTGTTATCATTACATGATAAATTAGGATAGTCTATAACACCTTTTACAGTGACTTGAAGCTTTGCTAGTACCTTTTATTTAATGATTTAGCACTTTTTTGTTATGAAATCAAGACAACACCTCATCAGAGAAATAGTGAACCTAAACCTACTTCTACTGTTATTGAATTATCATAGTTAAAATTTGTATTGTGTAAATGGCTTGGAAGGCTAGACAGACCCAAAGCCTGCAGAATACTGAAAGTACAGTAGACTCCCTCTTATCCGGACTCCTCGGGACCGAGGCTAGTCCGGATAACGGGTTTTCCGGTTAAACCGATGTCCCCAAAAAATTTTTGTATCACAAGTTTATGAAATTAGTTTTTTTTTCATGCCATTGATACCAACAAAAGATCTAGAAAAAATGTTTTATTAAATCCTGCCATCCTAAAGATTGAATTTTAATTATTTTCTTAAGTTGTTTACACATAGGCCACTACTAGGTTAAATTTTTCTGTTTTTCTAAATAATAATTATTACTTTACAAATTATTTTTCTTCACTTTCAATAAAATAAATTAATATATCTATCATAGAAATTTAAAAAATCATAAGTAGTCAGGACCAGTGCAACCATGCGACCAGGGTATTTATGCTTTATGCTCAGACCTGGGTATTTATGGCGATTATACCGAGAAGTAAAATGAGAGTAGTGACCATATGAAATTATGTTTAACACATTTTATTATCATTTTACTATCCTTACAGGGTAATAATTGCAAAAAAACATCTCAATCTTCTCTAACTTTAATACAAATTATAAATACCCAGTTTTTGGGTATTTACCCGGGCCTGGGGTAAATACCCAGGTAAAAACCCAATTTATATTTACCTACCCACTGGGTATTTACCCGGCCCACATCACTAGTCGCAACACATATACCCATAATCATGCACTTTATAAGGAGAGAGATTATGCTCAAATATATTTACTTTAAATTCACTGGATAAATGCTCAACAATGATCAGCTGTTAGTCAGCTGACTGACATGCATTGTTGTACGAGTGTGTTTTAATCGTTAAACCCTGATAAGACGATAAACTAGTTATTGTCATCACGCGCTATAGTTGCACTTGCCTCTAGTGGCAGTTAAAATATTAATTGGGAGTTACGTAATATTTAATGAAGAGCGATCAGTGTCGGATTGTTCGGCGCGTGGAGTGGATCCAATATTATGATTGTGGAGGTATTGTGATTAATTTAGCAGCTTCTTATTTATTTATATTTTATGTACTGAAGATTACTTTTAGATGTATACCATCCCTATTTTCGTTTACATTTGTAGCAATACACTAAACTACTGGGGTGGGTTGCACGTCATTTCACCATTAATTATAATTGTTTTCTTTTTTGTTTTGATTTTATAATCAAATGTGTTGTTATAATCTAAAAATCTACTTTTAGAAACAAACGTCAATTTTTCCATCATACTGGTCCACAATGTGTTGGAAAGCATCCTAAATTAGTGCACAGGTATACTAAAAAGTATAGTAAATTTAAAAAAGCATATATTTTAATTGGACAAGCGCCGCAATCCGTCCTTTAAAAAAACGGTAATTCAAATTTACTAACTTGAATACAAAGCTAAATCTCTCTTCCTTGTAATTTTAAACTTCCACCGATATCGCTAAGATTGGGATTTTTGAGTCGGGGTTACAGCACTATATTTTCCCAATTGAGGCATTTAATTTTATTCACTCGTTTGATATGTTCTTTCCACCCGATGTTGACGTTATGAGGCTCTGTTCCGAAATAATGTGCAAAGCAAAGTCAGGAGCTGCACAATCATCCTCTGATAGGCAATGAACCATAAAACGTTTTGAGTTCTTTTAGAGCTATGTCCTGGCTATGCCTGAATCTGGCAAGGAGCGCTTCATGAAGACTTAGAATCCATTAGTGGCGGTATTTGAACACAGGACCTCAGGAACCCAAGTCCTGCGCTCTACTACTAGACCAGCTCGATTTCCTAATTCTACAGAAACTAGTAATTTCCATCAGCAACCTGTCGATTTCTCAATTCAACTACGTCGATTTTGATTTAACTTTTGTGACAAAACATGTACATGATAGTTCTATGAATAGTCAAAGCCCATAACCATTCTTTTCTGTTGCAGAACTGCGTGGCCCGCGCTCTCTATGACAACATCGCCGAGTCTCCGGACGAGTTGGCGTTTCGTCGCGGCGACGTGCTGACGGTCCTGGAGCAGAACACGGCGGGCATAGAGGGATGGTGGTTGTGTGCGCTGAGGGGCAGACAGGGTATCTGCCCGGGCAACAGGCTGCGGTTGCTGCCCGGCGTGTACGATCCTGCCCAGCAGGAGCTCAACTCGCTCAACACGCTGCAGCGCCAGGGGAAACGGCGCAGTTGGCACGTGCAACCCAACAAGGTAGGGGAACTACCGTTGCTTATTTATGCTTCCGATGGATATTCGTTTTTTTTTTTTTTTTAAGAAAGGCCTCCACCATTAAAAATGTTTACTATGCAAATGAAGAAGATGGGAATTATCCTGACCGAACCTAACCTAACTTGCGTAGGGCAAGTAGTGGGCTATTGGCGGTCTTCATCTTGAAAATAAATAATCTGAAGTCTACTTTTTAATTGCTAAGATACTCCCGACCTGCTTATTTCTCCTGCTTCAGTTAAATCTTGGTGTTGTTTTCAAGAAGAGGACTGCTACTGTTACAAATTTGTCTTATGCAAATGAAGACGATGGATATTATCTTAAAACCTGTACAAACCTAACCCTCACATATGGCAAGTTTAATAGTGGCGGTCTTCTTCTTGAAATGATTCCGATAGTCTACTTTTTTTAATTTCTAAAATACTCCCGAACTGTTCTTTTCTGCTGCCGAATCTTCCAAAGTAGCAAAGTAGGATAATGCGATCCACTACAATCCGGTTGGTATAGCCTATTGACTTCTGATTGTAGAGGAACAGTAGAAGCTTTTTCTCTCCAGGAAGAGTCAAAAGGATTTGCAGCAGAAGTAGTATGAGTGCCCGGATCAGTTGGTCATTTGGACGAGACCTAAAGGTATAGCTAGTAGTGGTCAAGGAGGAAGTCGGTGAACAATCGTATAGAAATTCTTAACTAACACAAGTTACCTTGAGATCGTAATGCTCCCGGGATGGATGATGGATCCTTGTCGTGAAGATGCACAATCAGTCAGAAGTAGTTGCGTTGAAATCCCAAGGAAAAAGAAACCTGGACTTCGAACTAAAAGGCTTGCAGAATTAAACTGATATTGGGAGTGTCTTTAAAAATCATCATTGCCCTTAATCAACTCCAGGTCATAAACTTTTGACAACTGTTCCTCTTCTCTAGTCTTCAAGGGATGAAGATAGACGTTATTTGCGGGCCAAGTGGAGAGCTATAAATCCCGGATCACAATACCCCGGCACGGAAGTTGTACAGTTTTGCTCTTGCATCTGTGATTAATGTCCAGATCGGCGTCGGCGAGCTCCTAAACGGGCAACTTGATACATGAGAATAAAACCTGTTGTTGGTGCGGTGGTCGACGTATAAGCGCATCGCACGCCTACTCGAGCATTGTGACTCAGGCTATACAATACAACAGACAATGGGAGCGCGGGTACAGTAATGTATAATACATCTTCTGGCTAGACTCCTACTGTAGTCTGCTGCTGCTGTATCTCGCGTTGCCGTGATGGTCGAGACACGAACACTGGATCAGCTGAGCATGAGCTGGTCACAATTCTGTATAGCTGAACTGGGAAACTTGGTTTTGGGTCCCCCTGAACCCAAAAAAGTTGTTTTCGAAGTTATGTCTGTGTGTAACCGTGTTTGTAGAGGTGTACAGAACAACAGAAAACACGCCGGGTCCGATTTTGATGAAACTCTCCAGGTGTTTTTTTTTATTTAGATTTTTAACCATAATTTTTCCATTGGATCCCTTAATTAGATAAAGCTGATTTTACAAAAAGGCTTTAGGACTAAAAATGTAGTATGTTATAATCATTTTAACCCGATACAAAACGACACCAACACCACCCACCTCTGTTAGTTTTACAGTTCCAAAGATAATTTTTCAATTTTGTGTTGCAACTTTTCACCTGTACAATACAGTACGTTTGAAGGAGCGAGTAGCCCAAAGTGACAAGTTTTAGACAGTAGCGAAGTGGCAAACCGTGACAATACATCCGGGTGTGCAGTGTGGCACAATGGAGGGTTCCTAGAATGTATCAATTCGCCGCACGTTCTGGAACAAACGTGCCCGCTGTGAGATGGCGGCTACTGAAGTAGCTAGCAGACTCTACTACTGCAGAAACTACTGCATGTCACAACGTCTTATGACATGACCCACCTTCACATCCTAGGGCGCTACGCTCTCTCTGGCATAGGCTAGTTGCTAGGCCTATGTTGTCATTTTCACGTAGATAAAATGCATTCGAGGTTGGAGGGTTTTCAGCCCGGGACCTTAGGGACTTACTTAGCTAAAACGAAAAGACAAGTTATTACAACATCATATTTTGTCATATCAACTTACAACTAACAGCATCATGGACCAAGAAGGAAATAGTGTTTTAAACTGAATCACTGTGCACAGTTTTACCATTTTGTACCTTCAATTCGGATACAAATTTTCCATATACATAGTATGCATTTGAATATTCAAAATAAAATGTTTAACATGGTACTGATGTTACAATAAATTGACTTTCTTTGAATATTACAAGACAACTTCCAACCCTATTGTAAAATCTTAAGCCTATTTTTTATACGTTTTTTATGTTGGTAACATTAAGAGTTATTGGTGACATTAATTTCAATTTTCTCTTATTTTAGGTTTATTTTAATTTGTACTAAATTGTTTTGTTATAAAACCAGAACAGGGGCTATTTTTTATAGCTATATGGTTTTATTTGGTTGAAATTGTTTTAAAAATTGTTAATTTATTATAATCTAATTGTAATCAAAATAACGCTTTCCGCGCGAACCGGACGAAACTAACCTTAAAATTGTCTGTAGCTGATCGATGAGGATGTTAAATATGTATAGAGTATTTTCAATTTACGGTGCTTAAGACCTGTACCTACAGCAGATGGTCAGATGTACCGGACATTCCAGCTTCACTCCAAGGTCACTGTCCAAGTCCGACCTCAGACCTCATCTCCTGATTCGGCAAACGAGGTTTTTTCTTCCTTTGCAGACGACGCTAACGTCGGCTATTCTACAGATGCATGCATTTCTTTGCCGTTTGTACGGTAGTGAACGAAAAATACGCAGCCTATTGTATAGTGTAAATAAAATCGGTTAACGTATAGATTAAAGAGAGGCACAAATTTTAATCAATGGGTTATCTGAGAACTTTAGCATATTGTGATAACAGTATTTCATCACTAGGGGCTGGAGTGACTGTTTTCGTATCGAACTCTAGATAAACGGTGGGCTTGTCGTTGAGTATCAAGTAAACAAAATAGTACAGAATAACAAACAAGCATAAAATTGCCTCCTCTACAAGATTCGTTCCAAATACAGAACAAAAACATTTGTATAAACTTAGGTAGGAGAGGTAATCAAACTAAGCCAGTCTGTATTTAGAGTTTGAGTTTGACGTTTGGTTAAACACGTAGGCTACTGTACAGCGCTAAACCATAATAAAACCCACTTCTGCGGTCTGCATTGAGGTCGTTGTCATGGTTATGACATCTTGACGTCAGGTAATATACCACGGGTACAGGAAATGTTGAATGTTAAATATTCGTTTGTAGGATATTCAACATACAGATCGTCATAGACAGACGAGTTATCTGATGCATTTTTAGTACAATGGGGTCAAGTAGATTCACTCTTTCCGTTTTGATTACAATATGAAGGAGAACTAAATTTAGCATCACCTTACGTTTTTAAATACAAAACGTACACCTACCATTTTTTAAATTTGGTTTTACTTTTGTGACATTGTTTAAACAAATAGATGACTAAATGGCCGTAAGAGTAATGTATTAAGAATTATCAGTACCGGTATTAATTGGTATTCTGATAGTATGATGGTATGGAGATAGTATTTGTAGACTTTGGTACGTAGACTTTATATTTTTTAATTTCCGTTTGGTTATCACTGCACAGCGTACAAAGTGACTTGTTTCTTCCCTGAGACATACATCACTAAAATTTTAATAGGTTTGGACCAAATATGGTTCTTTCATACCAAAGAAGAAGTTATGGTTCTTTCATACAGTGTAGAAAGGGAAATGCCAAACTACTTTGATCTGTCACCTAAATTATTTTGTTATAACAAAATCAACTTTGTAAGATATCAGCTCTGAAGAGCTCTTAAGATGCTCAGTGTTGTTCGGTTATCAAAATAAATTGCAATATAAAGCTTTTAAATCTAAAGTATCTGATAGATTCTAAGAAATATTGAACAACTTGGAAGCTTTTTCAAGTTAAAGTGAAATAAGACTAATAAGAGTTACTATCAACAAAGAAAATAAACCGCTCATTTAACTTATGTCCCTTTAGATTTGCTATTTTTATGTCAACTGAAGTACTGAAGACAATTTAAGGGATGTTTGTATCCAGTAAATAAAGTGAGTCTTTGATGTTAGCAATTTTTCCAGTTATTTCACCAACTTTGAAACTAGTTAAACCAAATTAAACACTGTATCCAACAACTATTTCTTATCATCTGGTATTACAAAAGGCGAATGAGTGCACTGTAAAATTTACCTTCAAATAAGAAGAAAATATATGATCAACAACTTTGGTAGACTTTGGTACTAGAGTGACAAGATTGGTCCCGATTCTTGGATGTAAAATGATATGACATGACATGGACTAAGAAAAAAAACTCAACATATAAAATAACAAAGATTTATTTCTTGTACAGGTAACTTAGCCACATGTCTCCTACTTGTGAATAACCTTTGTTCTAGTTCAAACAAATTTTCATTTAATTTAATTTCTTGTTTACAATATTGAATACCGTAAATCAAATGAGATTTCACGTACAATCATGTATCCGAACGATAGTGAAAGTTAAGACTGCAATGGAATATTAAGTTTCTTGTGCAAGTATTATCCAATTTAATAACTCGACGTGGAACCTGTCTTGTGTTTGTGGTGATAAATACTAATAGCCAACAGAGCTGTAATACCCTGTAGTCCTTGATATCCTTCGGTTATGAGAAAATGCACTGATATGTAGTCCTAAGCAAACAAGTATTCATGAGTTTAGAAGTAAAAAAATTATAAACTGTACAAACAATCCTTTTTAATATTTTCAACAACCTTAATCGAATTGAATTGAATTAATCTTGTGAATATTATAAGGCACTTTTATAACATTTAAAACATTTTTCATTTTAAATCAGCTATACTTGGAGGTCACGAATTGTGGATATTTAGGCATGATCTGTGGATGCGATACTCCCTGGTGTGGATTAACGTCTGCACTAGTGAGTACTACGACTATCCGCAGTACTATCATGATAATTAGACCAATTTGTAAATTTGGTTGCCTTAGTTGCCATTGGATGTATGGGCTATTAATGAACAGTCCTGTCTAAGGACATGTCGGCCTTAGTCAGTAACAAGACTACAAGTAAAATACCTACCTTCGTATGGTCACCATTTCAGTTAAAAGTGTACGTAACAATTAAACCCGTGTATGTAAACATTCAAGCTCAAGCACAAATAAATATGAGTATTTGTTCCTTTCCACTAAAAGCCACATGATAATTTCCATAACTGTTTACTTAGAAATTAGCCTTTAAAATGAACTTCGTCCAAAATATACTGTACTCATAGCAGTTTATTTAACCAATAATTGCATGTGGTACAATCAGCTATTATGGACTTATTGTCTTTACTCTTGCCTGGCCTTAAACTTTCATACTCAGTTTTCTCTCTTACTGACTAAACTTAACCTACTAATTGCTAAGTATTTTATTATCATGGTGTTTGACATTACTCCTTAAACAGCATTATGGTTACAGGTTTTGACTCCACAAAAGTTTGGAGACGTGTACTTGTACGATCTCCCGGCCAACAGACAGTCCCAGTCACCCGTGGGACAGCCGAGGTACGATGTTCCTCCCACCACCCACACCCTCGCACTCACACCTGAGAGTCAAGGTGAGTTTAGACTGACACATCTGTTTGGTAAATCCAGGTCTTTGGGTGACGATGTTGTAGTTGCTGACGATTCCGATGTAATGCAGCAGTTCATTTTTAAGGCACTAATACTAATAGTAATAGTGGAATGTCCTAGTGTTCCATCTTTTCTCCTGGTTATCAATATATCTTTGAAAGGAAGACGGTTGTTTTGTTCTAATCCATTGATTTATTTATCCATGATTATATAAAATAGGTTTACGACAGAGGATTTTCCGGGCAGTTGAGGAGTGTTCATGCATTTAAAATATAATGCTGCATTGCATCCGCAACGTCAGCAACTACATAATCATCATTTGAACATAATTTTCACATATGTAGGTAAGTTATATTAGGGTAACACTAGGGTTACAACGTATGACTTACCTCCCCTATTTTTTTTTTACTGATATCCAACTGTCGGTTTACAGGTAGGTTGTCACGGACAGACAGCCGAGGCAGTGACAGCTATGATGTGCCGCCGCAGCCGACCCCTGTCACCCTGGTGTCAGTTGGGGAGAGTTACGACGTACCTCGTCCTCTCGTACCTCCCCTCACCCCCTCCTCGTCTCTCTCCTCCCTAACGACGGATTCGCTGAGTGCCGGCAGCAACAGGTCCAGTCTGGCGCAGGAGTATGATGTTCCTCGACCTCGACCCGGACCCCAGCCACTGCTTCAGCAACAGGTATGGTCCTCGTAGTCCATGAGGTGTTCATAAATAAGGAAAGTCACATAGGTTATAGACCACAAGGATGATCTAGGTTTTAAAAAAATGTTGTGAAAAGTTTACTTGATAGCAACAGGTGTAGTCCCTGTGTCCTATGAGGTTTTGACAGAATAAGAAAGCAACGTAGACCACAAGGATCTAAGATTTGTACATTGTCGTAAAGATAGAAAGCATCCTGATAGCAGGTACAAAATAAGAAAGTAATATCATTGCTCAATTTTGGGGCGGAAAGAGTTCGGAAAAATAAAAATATTGCCTAGGTACTAATCACATTAAATAGATTACAGTTCCAGCACCTCATTTTTTACAAAAGGAGCACTGAGTAACATAGATCACAATGAGGTTTAGTCAAATTGTCGTGAAGGTGATAGACTCCACTCTTGTTCAAGATAGCTTAACTTTACTGATGGCAGTGCTATCTTATTGATTATCAATGTTTGGCTACTTTGTTGCTTGAGCATGATGTTTGACAGCAGGTGTACGACGTGCCTCCACCAAACCCTGTGCCACGAGAGCTGCCTCTAGAGCTGTCGTCTGCACTGGACTGTCTGGAGAGGTTGGAGTCAGAGGCTGCCACAGCTGTGTGTCGTCTGCTAGCGTTCGTCACACCTGGCTGGCGCACCAGGGAGGCGCTGGAGCCCAGATTGCTGGATATCAAGCTGGCTGTGGTGAGGCTCCGCACAGCTGTTCACGACCTGGCTCAGTTCACAGAGGCCGCTCTTGGCAACGCTGCCAAGGCTCCAGACAAAGGTAAGGTGGTTATATAGTTTGTGGTGCTAAGTCATTCCTGTTTTTAAAAGATTATTAAACACATTTTCGATTTCCGATTAGTAAAACAAATTTTTTTTACATTTCAAAATCTAGGAATCTGGTTACATTGGTGGAAATTAACCTACATGTCAATATTCTCGTAGATTGTTGTTGCATTGTTGATTAATCTGGTAGCTTCTACTGTTTGGCCACTTTTTTTATCACACTACCTTAAACATTTGTTGTGTCAACTGTTTTGTTTCCCCACCAGGCTAGTGTAGTTATCTAGCTATGTTCAAGGTTTGTTCCCACCTAAAGACGGGATCAGATCCCAGATTCTGAAATGTCGTGAAAACTTGTATTTATTAATCAGTGATGGTAAATATCTACAGGAATCCTTTTAAACAACAGAAAGTATATATAGTTTAATTTGAAAATACCAACATTTTGAGTACCGATAATTGCACCAAACACAACCTTACCAATATATTTTACATCTTGTTGTCTCTCAGGCCTAGTGGTGAAGCTGCGTCCGCTGGTGTCTGCGCTGAGACAGGCCGACACTCTCGTGTGTGAAGTCTCCACGCAGCTAGAGTCTACGCAGTGGTCGCTAGAAGTGCTTTGTCGGCCAGAAGACACGGGGGTTTCCCCGACCCCTCCTGACTCCTTGGATCAGCTGGTCGCTTGTGCTCGGGCCTTGACAGACGACGTGCGACAGGCCACCTCCTTCATACAGGTGTGTATTCCTACGATTTAGCTTACTGTTTCCAACAGTTCCTTAGAGTTGAAGTTCATTGTTAGAGTAGATTTCTCGACTGAAACACTTTAAACCGAAATAACAATCAACGCAGACAGCGTTAGAAAATAAAAACACTGGAATGTGTCTTAGACTTAGAAAGTGAGGCGGAACGGAAATGGTTGGCATAGGATTTTGGCGTTAAGGCTGTTGGTAGCCATGTATACACATACCCTGCAGCAAATATACACTATTCACCTACGTTATGAGTTGCAATGCTTGACTGAAAAAGATGCAGACAGGAACAGATTCCTGTCCGTCAGTACCGTTTAAAGTAGTGGCATTTCTACCAAAATGCTGCTAGATGAAAAATAAACATGAATGTAAAATTAAAAAAAAAACTTAATTAAAAACATTTTTAAATCAATTATCAAAATTTTAAAATCTTGTAAAAGTCACACGCGCACAAACATTCACAATCAATGTTTTACAGGGAAACGCAACACTATTGTTCAAAAGAGGTTCGTCGCCAAGCGGTGAGTGGATGGAAGACTACGACTACGTCAATCTAGAGAGCAAGGATGCAGTAGCAAGGCAGAATGCAGAGATACGGGAGGCGTTGCCCGTGGAGCTGCGCAAGTCTTACGACGCTATTGTACAGGAGGCGGAGAAAATGGCAATCAGTGACAAGAAACTAGACGATGGAATTGACCCTTCGGATATGCAGGTTAGCGAATAGCACAGAACAAATTATTTTGCGGCTTTTAGTTGAGGAATTTATTCAATACAAAGCTGTCCTCGTCTGAGAGAGCTATCCTTTTTTGTTTTAGAAATTGTTGGACCTTTTGCAAAGTGGGCTCCATACTATTGGATCACAACACTAAACCCATTGGTGATTGGTGAGAATATAACCCAGGCTATCTGATCAGAAGTTGTACAATCTAACTTCAGTTCACGACCAGATGAGCTCCTAATGCTACAACGTTCCAGGATATTTAAAGTGTTCTCCTGTTGTCAAGATAACAAATTTTGATATCTCGCTTATTTTTGTTTTCATTACTGTGTTTGCCATGGCATTTTGTGTGAAAGAAACTCAAACACTAATAAGAGAAAGCGGTCCACACACCTACATTTTTGCTCTTGCTCTTAAGTCTGTGACTGTGTGAGAGGAAGTTCTCCCACCACTTCTTTTATTGATGTACTAGCTGTACCCACGGGCTTTGCCCCGTTTAACTTCATAAGTATTCGCATGGCTCAATCACGTCCCGGTTGAAGTTCGTTCGCTACGCTCACTCACCTTTAGGTTGGAGCTCGTTCGCTGTGCTCACTTGTTTTCAGGTTAGCTCGTTCGCTACGCTAACTCGCCTCCAGGTTGATGTTCGTTCGCTACGCTCACTCACCTTTTGATTGCAAATTAGCTGTTGTCATAAATTTTAAAAAGTCGTCCCTTTTATTGTTTATAATACTTTGATAAAGGTTTTTATGTTTTAATATTTAACATTGGAGAATTTAAACGTTGTTAAGTGCAGAGGTGTGCTGCAATTGGGGTTTAATATATTTGGACTTATTCAAAAGTAAAATAGTTTTCTGTGCTGCACTCTGTAGAAACACTGTGGCACTATTTCAAATCATGACTAATGCTAATACAGAATGTTGTAATTATTCAAACCTACAAAACAGTTGGTAAAAGTAAACATCTGCTTTTAAATTATATTTATTTGTAAACATTGTAGATCAAAAAGTCTGACATTGGCCCACTTAAAACCCTCTGGGGCAGAGCCCTTTTGATAGATCTGCACCAAACTTCACTCGAACCATCCTTGAAAGATGCTTAATAATGCCTGAAAGTTTCATTACAATCTGTCGAGCGGTTTCGGAGTCCATAACGTATATACATACACACACACAAACATAGTTCCTCTTTTATAGATATAGATATGTTGCAGCTGATTTATGTTTTGGTAAACCTCAGATGTGCTATTTTTTAAAGGTAGGATCAAGTGGAGCGGATAGATTTCTTCATGTACAACCGCCTAAATTTTGTGAACGGAGTATAGCAACACAAAATAGTGTGTTGTTATTGTCTTGGCTGCCACATTATATTAAGGATGGTTATAATGATCTAATTCATTGTTTTTATGCCAACATTAATAGATACATAGTTAGTTTTAACAAGATATTATTTGCCTCCAAAGCACAGTGGTAGTAACTAACAGTAATAGCCTATAATTCAAAATCTTTTATCATATGGAATCCACAATGTGTTTCAGGTGTTGGCGTTCTACTCAGCGCAGTGCACAACTCACGCGGCACACCTTACTCACGCGATAGATGCGTTCCTGCAGACCGTGGAACACAATCAACCGCCCAAGGTGTTCTTAGCTCATGGCAAGTTTGTTGTGTTGAGTGCCCACAAGCTGGTACACATTGGGGACACAGTGCACCGCAACGTTACACGTTCTGATGTGCGTACACGGGTCCTGGCGTGTGCCAACGCGCTCAGCGAGGCCCTGGCTGCAACTGTACACAAGACCAAACGCGCTGCGCAGCAGTTCCCGAGTGTCACTGCGGTTCAAGAGATGGTCGATTCTGTCGTAGACATTTCACACCTCGCAAGGGATCTCAAAATGAGTTTAAAATTTGCAACTCAGTAAAAAACTATTTTTAGACTTAGTTATGATCCCAGTGGTACTTAAAATCCTAGGTTGACTGTAGTAAGTTGTTCCTTTGACTTTGAAGAATAGTTAACCTCTCATACCCGTGTTTAAATTATCGCTAGAATGAAAATGAATGTTGACCTGAGCCATCGACAGTGTTGGCTGTTTTCAGTTACTGAATTTCCGTTTTCTAACACAAACACCAGCACTTTGAACGAAAAAAATGTTAAGGAAAGTTTGTTGTAAATTATAGCGTCTTTTACACCTAGTATCGACAAATGAGTGATACAGTGTATAATGTAGACCACATAATGAGTTACTCATTCTACTGTGTTTTGAATGACAAATTTTATTCTGTTTAAATAGAATGTCTTCTATAGTGTCCAAAATCAATAGTTGTTTTACACTTAAAGTGTATTGCTGAGATGTATTTACGTTTAGTATTATCATTACAGCTTTAAAAATATTTTTAATGGCATTGTTTCTGACCTGTCTTTATAAAGAAAGGATCTCGGTGTACTAGAATGATATTTGTAGGGTTTAAAAATTAATCAAACATTAGATTTCTATGTTTTAATTTAATAGTCATAGGTGATTTTTTTTTATAAAAGATTTGACTTTGCCAAATAAGCTACCGTTTTTTAAACCTCGTTACAACCAGATAGTTGACTTGTATATTTATAAATATTACTATAATAAAAATAATACTTTAAAATAGTGTTGACTAAAAGCTAATAGTATTAGGATGAATATCCTTTAGTCATTAATATAATATAGTTAGTTATTGCTCTTTTGTTTAGAGACACACAAAACTGAACTTATTTTAGTCTTCCCTAGCAGCACTTGTTTATTGGTTGTGAATAGATAAGACTTCATTTTATACAATTTACTTTTGATCATGATTTTAGGGCCGTTTTGAATTATAATTTACTACTGTAAAGAAAAAACACTTTTAATCATTTTAAAATACTTAAGATAAAACCCACTTAGGGTTTCTATAAGCTTTAATAAAAACATTGTAGGTTAGGTTGTTTATTTTTTTCTTGTAAACCTTATTAGGTTATTTAGGAAGTGTAACACAGTAGATTTAAGTAGCTTTAAAAGTTTTGTACTTTGTCGTCAATTTAAAAATGTTTTCATCAGTTTTTGTTAGGTGTTTAAAATTTATACTTCATGGTCGATTTACTTAATTACTATAATTTTTAGTTGTTTTTGTTTATTTTTTATCCTTTTTGTTTTCATTATTTTGATACTAAAAAGGTTTGTTTTAAGTTTTGTAAAGATTTTTGTTGAATGATTTTGATGTTTATAAGTTTTTGTATTTGTATAGTTTATATTGTATATATTTTTTAGAGGATTATTTATTGCACTACATTATGTAGACTTTTTAATATAATGTCTGGTGTCTAATTGAGTTTTTATTATTTAACCTCTGGATTATTTAAGTGTCATTAGATATTGAAATGTAGCTGATATTCTGGGATAAAGAATTCATCCTTTGCAAGAGTCATTCAATACACAGGAGAGACTTTAAAATGCACATTTTAAACACCAATTAGAAAATCACCAGTGCAATTGGTTGGCTTCAAAATAGTAGTTAGTTAATAAGTTTGCACTTGGAATGGGTGTTATTGGATCATCATTTGCTCATTTAGAATAGCGACGAAAGCTAAAAACATAACTTAAATTTTTCTATAGTCTATATGTTTACAAAAAATCACTTTTATTGCGGCTTGGCTGTCTGAGAGGATTAGTATTTTGCCTTTCCTCAGGTTCTTGTAAAGGATGGTTTTTGCACAGCACTCAATTGCCAGGACCTCTGATTGAATTGAAATACTGTAGCTGCGCTTCCCAGGGCTAGGGAGATAATGGATGTTTCATACAACCCCCACCCCGTACTCTCATCCTCCCGACTCCCATCTGTATAAAATACCAGGCATGTCCTGCCCATCTTAAGGTTGCCCGTTTGCCAGTCGTTCCTTTCCCCTATACCGTAGCAACTTTGGTAAGGAATCTCTAAACCGTACTCCTTATCAAATCAAATCAAATCAAAAAATCCTTTATTCAAACAGTACATTTCTATACATGAATTGTGTCAAGTCAAGAATAAACATAACTATACATTTGGCAAATTTACAGCACTAATTAATTAAGAGCTATAATCTATATACACTTTCTCCCCTACAACTACTTACTGTTCAACCATTACAACTAACTATTGATTTGACATACTAATAGCTAATTGAAAAAGTCCCCAATCTTGTAGCAGCATTTATCTGACAACAATTTGAATAAACTGGTTTTAAATCTTTTAAAATCTGTCAAACCCTTTATGGTGCTAGGCAGGCTATTATACAATTTTATACCAGAGTAGTATGGAGAATGTTCAATGGTGGAGGTATTATGTCTAGGGTATGTAAGGCTATTCTTTTGTCTTGTGTTATAGTTGTGAAAATCAGAGTTACTTGGAAAATTTGATAAATGTTGTCTTATGTACAAAATTAAATTATATATGTATATACTGGGAAAAGTAAGAATTTTGTGATTTTTAAAAATACTCTTACAGGATTTTTTTCCTTTAAGTCCAAAAATAATACGGATAATTCTCTTCTGCATTTTAAAAACTTTTTCCCTCCTATCTGAATTTCCCCAGAAGATCACACCATAATTAAACAAGTGATAGACATAACCGTAATAAACCATCATAAGAGTGGATATGTCAACAGATTTAGATAAAATAATGAACATAAAATGTGCTTTATTTAATTTTTTTACAACTTCACCAATATGATTTTGCCAAGTCAATTTTTGATCCACTGTGATGCCTAAGAATTTAACTGAGCTTACTGAATTTAGAGAAAGGTTCAAATCTAATTTTGTTGATGAGTCTGATTTCTGGTAGTTTTTCTGGAATTCCATCAGAAGAGATTTATCTTTATTTAACGCCAAACCATTTGCTTCAAACCATTTTTCTAGCTGAAGGAAATCTTGTTCAGCTGTTTGTTGCATAACAATTTTACTATGATCAGTGAAAATAATGGAAATGTCATCAGCAAACATTACTGATTTTGACTTTAAAATCAAAGGTAGGTCATTAATATAAACAAAAAACAGTAGTGGACCCAGTATTGAGCCTTGTGGCACACCCTCTGTGACTAATTTGAAATCAGATTTCAGATTTATTAACCGTAGGTCCACACACTGTTTCCGCGTTGATAAAAACGAGGTTATCCACTTTATAGCCATACCTGACACACCATAAAAGTTTAGTTTTTGTATTAACAGGCTATGGTTTACACAGTCAAATGCTTTTGACAGATCACAGTAGAGACCAGCTACTGCCTGCGATCTGTCAAGAGCACCTGTGACTTCGGTAATAAAGCTAAAGATTGCATCTGTTGTACTCCGTCCCTTCCGGAATCCAAACTGACATGTATCCAAAATTTGGGATGTTTCAAAATGATCACACAATCTATTGAAGACGACTTTCTCAAATATTTTTGAGAAACTAGGCAATAAAGAAATAGGTCTGTAGTTGGATATATCTTTTGGGTCACCTTTTTTGAAGACTGGTATTATGTTTGATAGTTTCAATAGGTCAGGGAAAACACCAGTATACAAAGAAATGTTTATCAAATGAACAATGGGTTGAGCAATAAACTCTGAACTCACACACCACAAACACCTCATACACCTCAGTGTTCCATATCCATACTTGGGAAGTCTCTTAGTATATACAGGTGTCCAGTCCATCCCTGCAGCTTAACTGAACTCGCCTCTGCTACCCATTTTGAGGACAGTGGTGGCTGCCCGTTTCATGACTTCCTGCCCTAGCAGCGGAAGCATTTCAACTGCAGCTGTCGGGCAGGATTTCATTTTCCCACAGACCCCTGTGCAGCTTCCTACCAGCCACTGTCTGCAATGCTTTTGGCCATCACACTAGGGTTGCATATGTGACCATTGGTTTGAATATGGTCTCATAAGTCCAATAGATTAGGACTGAGCCCCCATTTCTTACCTACCAAAAGGTTCTTCTACGGGCTCCTTTGCCTTTTGCGAGGACATCCTTTTCCAGGTAAGTTTCTGGTCAAAGAAACTTAAGATAAGATTCCAAGGTAGTTTGTTTTCTTTACTGACTTCCCTTCCCCCCCCCCCTCATACTTACGGAGGATCAGATTTTTCTCCTTCTCGTGATGGAGATTAGTTCATTTTTGTCCGGATTGATAGTGAGACCCTCTTTTGAGCACCAGCCCACCACACAACTCACAGCTCAGCTGTTTGGGTGAGTTTCTCCACAGTGGCTGTGTTTCCCTCTAACTGTGAGCATTAAATTTTCTGCAAAAGCTTAGAGGTCCATGCCTCTCCGTTCAGCCTCCCTCAGAAAGTCATCCTCCACCAAAGCCCACAACAAGGGCGAGATGGCTCCTTCTTGGGGGCATCCTTGTTGGGCCACGATTGCTGCCGAGCAGCCGCTATCACATCCCTGCTGTTCAAAAGAGCTATAATCCAAGATGCTATTTTGGGGGTATGTCCCTGGCTTCTGACTACTGTATCTATGGAGTTATAGACCACTTTATCGAAAGCACTTTACTTTGTATACCTGATTACCTTCTTCTTAGCCTGAGACCAGTAACACTGGATAAGTTGGGTCCAATGTAATTTAATTTTAATATACATATTTACAAAGGCTATTTACAAAACTTCCAAGATGGAGTTATACGTGTCCCACAGATGGCGTATAGACAATGGTCTAGTGCTATCGAAGTTTACTTCGAAAAACTATAATCCATATTATACATTAACCATCAACTTAAATATTTACTCTATGATAATGCATATAATTTTGAGGTATGTTCCCCGCCACCTCATTAATTATGATCGAGTACACCATCGATCGATCGGTTCTGAGATGTAGGTGAATCTTATTCATATAAATATGTAGACTATTCATTACAATTAATTAGAACTCCATGCATATTATTCTTAGGTTTGTCAGTCGATTTCAGGAATGCCAACTACTGCAGTAATAATATAACTTTTTTGTATCGCATCACAGTATTTACAACCGTTGGAGCGGTTATTTTGAAGAAGAGCAGCTCTTGTCGCAGCTCCACATTCTATAAGTATCTAAAAAAAAAGGTACTATTACTGCGACGAGACGCTGCTGTTTACGATTCCTTGAAATATTCTTCGATGTAGTGCTGCGATACTCATCATAAGAAGAATAAGAACCAAGGGGAGGGGGAGACTTCTGCTGTCTGTGTCTGGTGGTCTGCATCTGCACTGCATTCGCATTCTGTGATCTGTGTATCTGTCTACTGCCGGATTTAGGTTATATCTACCTACTGTTATGTAAAATTAATTGCTATCAAGCCCAAGCTTACTAAATAAATAATTTATTTATTATCGTAACGAAAAGTAGTTATTTTAAAGGGTTATAATCATGTCAGTGTCATTGTGTTGTCGAAGATTTCCAATTGCCATGAAAACAAAATTCAAATTCTACTTACCCAAACGAAATAATGGCTATGTTGTGTTGTAAGTATAATATTATGTATTAACTTAAGAAAATAAGTAATCAATCATAAGTTGTGGAATTATTCAAACTCATTGTTAGGCGGGTTTACACTATGTAGCAAAACCTGCTAGCCTATTTTATAACATTTGCTATATAACTTAACATTGTTAAGTTATATAACTTTTGCTATAACATTGCTACATAACTTTTACTAGGCTATAGAAAAAAGTTACAGACAATTTTAGTGATTCCGGTGCTCGTGCTATCCTATGCTAAGATGTAGCACAACCTCGTTCACATTCCGTATCGAAATGTCGCGCCGAAGAGACATTGTTCGTGGCAACTATCACGGTGATCTTAGGAAGTCAGAGGCGGAAGGGAAGGATTTAGCAAGTTATAGGTTTGACCGCTTCTTGCTTCGAGAGATTAGTAGCCTACAGTGTAGCAGATTTATTACGGGACCTTAATGATGACGATCCTTAACTTAAGTTAATTAAGATGTGAAATAAGGCGATGGTAGCTTCAAAACATTTTACGTATGACCACAACCCCGGTTGTTCACAGAACAGTTCAATTAAGTTTATAATTGCATCCTGATCAACTACACACTGTCACTTTCCAGTCCTTCCATTGTAACTTAAACAAAGATCGCTGAGCAAAAACGTTTGCACCCAGGAGGCTACAAATGTGAACTGATTACACTAAGTAACTTAAATGCTAAATATAGCAGATGCTTATGCTAGACAAAAAAAATGTGTATAACATTGCTACATATAGCAATATTAGATGTAGCTCGTATTTCTTTTGATGTTTACCGACTCCCGATGGATAGCACAATTTTTGCTTTAGTCAATATAGCAGGATCTGCTACATATGTAGCAGTGTTATATAGGCTTAGCACTTTTGAAAAGTTACTTTTTCTACTTCTAGCAAATGTTCCCATAACATTGCTAGATGTTACACAAATCTGCTATATAGCAGGTTTTGCTGCATGGTGTAAACCCGGCTTTATTATAGGGTACTACTTAGCACACGGACACCAAAACAGTCTTAGATTTTATAGTACATGGTAGGTTAGAAAGCGAGAGTACTAAACTTATAAGCCTATATTTGTGTTAGCCTAGTCCTAGTGTCAAGGCCAGTGTTTTTTTTTCAATGAAGGAATCACAAACGTAAATCAGGGAAAGTGGTCTAAACTAATCAAATTTCTATGGCTAACGTATACTGAGATAAAACCATATTAAAGGGGACAAGGCCGTTTCAGATATGGCCTAACTTATTCTTTTGGTTAATCAATGGTTGTAATTTAAGTTAAGTTGGGCTAAGTGAATAACCAACTACGAACAATAAGTAGGGGACCTAGGTAATCAACTCATCCGAAACGTGGTAGTCTTGACTCGCCAATTACCAGTAACTTACCGCATAAATTAATATTAATTAAGTTATGTTACTTGCCAACTTCTTTTAGTTTTTAAATGTCAACCATATCATCTCTGTGTTTATATGTATAGGCCTACTTTTTATTGTGTGTTGTGTTCAACTATCATGTCGACAGGACGACCTCTAGGGATAAGGAGATTTGGCGTTCGTGGCCTGATGATGTAGGCCTTCTCATTGATTATGAAACAAGCTGTAGGCCTAGTCACAATAAAAACAATAGCACAGATAGGGTACATATAAAACATTTAAACCTGAACATTTCTCAGACTTTTTCAGCGTGTATTAGAGCTATTACTTTTTCTAGGCTTCCTGAAATCAATCTCGACATTCCAGAAAGTGCTGCACTCATGAAGGACAATATGCCAGACTTCTCCAGCGATGAAACGGAAAAATATGTGACAATTGTTGGAAAATCACTCCTTGACGTGGAACATGGCATTAGAATGGTGGAACAAAATGTTGAGACAGGTAACTTAGGCCTGTACTAACATGTATTTTAGTCTGGATATTTGGTGGCACAATATTTAAAGTCAATCATACCGCTACTTAGCATTTGTGTCACTATTAAACATCAACCTCTTAATAGCTTAATAGCTTAATAACTTAATAGCTGTTAATTGCTCTATGACAAATAGGACCTAACTTAAGACCTAACCTTGAATTGATTTCTCCGTTAACCAGGAACTAGGATGACTTTAGAACTTTAAACTCTCTATATTATTTTAAGGAAAGGTGCTCTATGCACTCATGAAATCTTACCATTTAACTTAACATTTTTTAGGTTATAAACCCTTTTTTAGGCCTAGCCTAGTACAGAACTTGTCATTTATGCAAACTGATAATTAAAGTAGTTCAACAATATGTTTCAGCTGGATGTACTAATCTTGTGAAGGAAGTAATCGAACCGATTGAAAAGATCAGCGCCTCGCTAGACACTTCTTGGGGTATTATAAAGACTCTGTACCTTGCCAAAACCACGGTAATGCCTTCAAGCACTTACGTCCCTTTGCACCATCGTGCTCGCCGGGCAAGGTCTGCAAAGTTCTACAGCAAGGCTATATATGAGGCTTGTAAGGTGAGTTGAGGATGTGTTGCAGAATTCAGATTATTGCTGTTTCTGTAACAATTTTTAGATTTGCTTGGTTAAAGGTAGGAAATTAATCAACTTTTGCACAAGTGTTAGTTTTGTTTACTTTTAAAGAAAAACTCTTCTTTATTCAGAGGCTATCTTGAAATAATGTACTATATTGACCTGTGACCATACAAACTGAAATTGATTTTTTTCCAACAACCTCCAAACTAGTACTCTGTCCTCTGTCAATGTCATATTGATTCGTTTTACGCCTTCATTAACTGGTAATTTCATCTCAATCTTGATCTTCTAAGAGGGCATTTTCCTTCTAGTTTGCCTCTTCTTACTCCTCTTACCTCATTTCATCCCCTTCTTCATGATCAAGTCACTAGATATACCTACATTGGCCTTAGCCTGCTGTTGTGTAACAACTTAAACTTGTAATTACGTTTTAGGAATGTGACCAATCCAAACTGACGGAAGAGGAGCAACGAGTCGTTGATAAGTTCTTGTTGGAAGGAAGGTTGGCCGGACTGGACTTGGAAGAGAACAAACGTGAAGAGCTTGCTAACATTTACATCAAGATGGCGGAGGCTCGATCCATGTACACTAAGAGAGTAGAGGTGATGACAAAATATTACTGTATTGTTGTAACAGCTAAGGACAAAAAATCTGTCCCAGTTAGTAATATACAAATTACAATGTAAATGAATATTATTAAAATTGTGTACAATTGTGTGTTTCGTGTACCAGTGAACAGACTCTTTCCCTTTGAGCCTGCTATCCTAATAGAAATCATAAATCTTAGGCTCTTATGCCGTACATGCTATATACCTTACTTCAGAGGACTGAATTTGCTTAGATTTTTTAGTTAATGATACTTTTCTCTGTATATTCTGTCAGAGTTTTATATCATTAATCTCTTTTGTGATGCGTACATGAATAAAGATTTATGTTTTAAAAACAAATGTCATAGTCACAAAGTTTACAGGATTATTTTGTTGTTATGTTATACTAAATTACATAAACATGTTTTGCAGGTGTCTTCAAACAAATTCAACACTACAATACGAGACCCGAGCATCACTAGGGAGATGCCAGATCATTTACTCAGACTCATGGCTGTAAATAAGTGAGTTACTGTCATAATCCTGCAAACCATTCATTCTTACCTACCAATAGTGCTAACTTTGCATCTTGTCTAACCAGCAGCTCTGTATGGAGGGTCGCCATGGTCCTACATGGGTGGCAAAATTTACAATCTCTTCCTAGAACAAATTTAAGCTAAAGGAAATAGTTTAACTTTTCAAATAGAACTGAAAGACGATCTCATACCCCTGTGTCCTTACTCCCTAGATGATTTTGTAAATGTATTCAGCATTAGATAACACATAGGCCTACAGATTCTTAAAAAATAAAATAATTTAGCATAAGGTCTTATTTGTTATTGACATGTCACGTGCTTATATGGGATTAATCACAGTTTTTGTGAACATAATAATATGACAAATGATGAATAAACATGTAATTTCATAACTTTTTCTTCTAGTTACTTTGGTCACAGGAATTTATTCTGTAATAAAAGCTTTTTTTAGCCACTTAACTCATTATTTGCATAAAATCTAAGATAAATAGTTTGGAAATTATAAAATGCAATTGTATGGCTTTTTCCACTGTTTTTACCTGTTTCGCACAAGTGAAAATAGACTGTTGAACATGAACATGACAATGTTGGATTCCAGAGAGGAGGTGGGCCAAGGTCCGTGGAAGGTGACGCTGGAGCCACAACTGGTGGAGACTTTCCTGGCATATTGTCCTGTCAGGGAGCTGAGGTGGAATGTGTGGCAGGCTCAGACACGTATAGCCTCGCAGAGTCTGGAGGACAATGAGCTGCACAACAGTTCTACACTGGAGAAGATCAGGAGTCTCAGGTAAGCCAGAGTAAAAACCCTGAGTTCTGTCTCGTAGCCTTAGGAGTAAGACCGTTCGGACATTAAAGGTCTACCGCTTTAACAATTTTGGTTATGTGTGGATCCTAATATTTTCGGGTCACAGTGATGTAATTGCATTATTACAATTGATATATTTACAAAAACTCTCTTAAGCAACCCGGATTTTGCCCAAGGCCCAAGACAGAACCCTAATTTTGGCCAACCAAAAGCCTCAACATAGCCTAGTAGTTCCAAACTTGATTGTTATTCTGCAGCGCTTGCAGCATATGCCAGGAATAGCTTTCGGATGCTGTATAAATGTACACTTAGTCTTAAACCCCACCTCTCTTATAGGTAAACTATAGTCATCTCTTATATTCGTACTATAAGAACTATAAGAAATAATGCAGATCTGTAAAAAGTGTTTAAAAATCTCTATATGCTCTAGCCCCATCATAACCCCTTTGTTCCTCTTAAATAAATGAGAGACAGAAAATTCACTTGCCCCTGCTAGCAGGAGAAAGTGCATAGGCATATCCCCTTTCAAAAAAATTTAGAAACAATTTGTTTTCCATGAAATTCAATAGATTTAAATTAAAACTTTTTAAGATTGGCTTTTAAAGAACTTTTAAAGAACACCCATCAAATTACAATATAAAAATATCAATAATTTATCATTGAAAATTATGTTCTCAGACTTGGTTGAACCAGACCAAGTTGAACTATATATTTTGAGGGTGCAATTGCCCAACCTCACCCTATGCATTTGGAAGTTGGGTTATGTTAATGTGCTATATCAGCCTGTTTTGTTCAAACATTTTTATATAGCTGAATAGAACAAATTTATCCTAATACTTAACACTCTTTCCCAAATTCCACATAGTAGATTTTCGTATAATTTTCTGTTATGTTAAACCTTATCCTACTCAATGTTATTGTTGTTGATTTTCTGTAGAATCAAACTGTTGTTAATGCTAGGTTGTATTCCACAGGAGGGACGAAGCTAGACTGTTAGGCTACAAAACTTACGCACACATCTCAATGGAAACAAAGATGGCTGGGTCATTAGAGAAAGTTCAAGAAACGTTAGGAAATATGCTGCAAGTTGGTAAGTCAATTGAAACGAGTTTAAATATTTGCAAAAGATTTATATTTACTTGGGTTAGATTAATAGAACTATACTACTTCATTCTAAATGGCATTTAATAAGAATCCTAAAATGATTTGACAAAGGGTGGTCTACAAGAGAGCAGAGTCAGAGAGCCGGAATATTTGCTGAACATGTAAAATCCTGGCAACCTCAAATCACTGTTTTTGCTACAGTAGACTCTCGCTCATACGGATCGGGCTTGTCCGGACTCCCGCTAGTTTGGATCGGAAATCTTGATTATTTTTAGTGGCACAGAACAGTAGAATTCCGATTATCCAAGCTAAACGGGACCGAGACTACCTCGGATAATCAAAAACTCGGATAACACGGCGGTCAAAATTATAGGTTATAATTAGACAAAAATCTTTTTCTAACTGGAGGATATGGTTTATTATTACAGTACAGTAATAAGTTATTTATTATTAAATAAAAAGATATTTCTCTACCAGCTCGTACCAAAAGTCAATAATTACCGGTGGAACTGCATTTACCCGGCTATTAATACTGTGGACCTGGAACAAAATTTTAAAAAGGGCTATATACAGTCAACTCTCAATAGTCTGGATTTTTCGCAATCCGCCACATTAGTCTAGATGAGCGAGAGTCTACTGTACCATTTATTTCTTGTCTTGTTAGCCGAGAGCCAAATTTAAGCAAAACCTATGCCATTCAGAAGTTCATAGGTGTAAGACTGATTTTAAGTGTTTACTATTGATTTTACCGGTTCCTTTCAAATACACAAAGAAAGTTCCATTAGAGAGGCATTGGACTCCCAAGGCACAATTTTACAATTATTTCCCATTGTACATACATATTTTAATTAGATTATTATCGTGTTTTACAGCAAAACCAGCAGCAGACAGAGAGATTGCTGATCTACAGAAGTTTGCTTGGGAGAGGGGCTTTGAAGGCAGCTTTCAACCTTGGGACATCTCCTTCTGGGAACGGAAGCAGAAGAGGACACTGTACAAGTAATATAAATACTATTCTATTAGAGATAATGTTATGGAAAGTATGATACAATTAAAATAGAACAACTACAAATGTTATGCTTAAATCTAAAAAAAATATTACTTTGAAAGGTTAAATTTTAGAATAAATTATCATATTTTTTTAGTAGTGCCACTCTGTGCACTACTACAGCCTGGTGTGTTTGTTCAAGGCACCAAACAGACCTAAAGGGGTTTTCATGAAAACTTTATTTTATTTTAGTTTTTTGGTTGGATTAAACAGTTTTATAACTATTTTCATTCATATTTTTTTCAGCTTCCAGGAAGAGCAGCTGACGGATTACTTTCCCTTTGACAAAGTGTGGGAAGGGCTGCTGTCTTTGTGTGAGAAAATGTTTGACGTAAAGTTTGTAGAGAACAAGACTGTCAATCGGTGGCATCCGGAGGTTAGATTCTTCTACATCTACGAAGAAACCAACAAACCAGCGGCTGGCTTCTATCTCGACCCTTACCTCAGGTGAGATTACTTTCCATAAAAAATCTAACAAAATCTATCAAGAGAGTGACACTTGTATTGAAGTTGATAGTATAATGTTTTATAGCTATGTCTATTGTTTATTTGCCCACAAATCTGTAAAATGTTAGGAATATTCTATTTAAAATGTGTGTTATTGGTAGGGAAGACAAGTTGAACTCGAGGCAGAGGGACGCATACATTGTGAACATCACTCCTGCTGCTCGGATACACAAGACACTACCGCTGTCCTCCCTCATCATGCACCTGGATCCCCCAATATACGGCAAACCTGCATTGCTCACCTGGCATGACGTGCAGATACTCTTCAAACAGGTAATGTTGGCAGAAGTCATTGTTGTGCAAGTCTAACAAACTACATTAGTACATTGTACAGATAAAGCATTACGAAAAACAAGAAAAATTAAGTTTATAGTAAGGAGTTTTACAGTTTTGTCACGTAATGCAATTTTATAGTGTATGCCATGTTCAGCATTCATCAAAAACAGGCCAGCTGATCATTGCGACAGAGTGAGAGAGAGAGAGAGTAGACTACACAATCCATATGGTCGCAACAATTCAACAATAAAAATTGATAAATGTAAATATTCCTAGTTCCACTTTAAAAACCTTCTTAATCATACAAGTCACTTAATGTAATATTTCAGTGTTGGTTATATACTATAATGTTCCAGTTTGGTCAAAAGCTGTATTGTTCCAGTTTGGTCACGTACTGTAATGTTTCAGTGTTGATCACATACTGTAATGTTTCAGTTTGGTCACGTACTGCAGCAGCTGCTGACCACAGTCACGTATGCTGAGGTGGCCGGACAGTCCAATGTGGAGTGGGATGCTGTGGAAGTGGTCGGCAACGTGTTCGTACATTGGTCGGTATTTTTTTGTTGAACGTAACATACATTTCACAAACTGTTATTATAATTTAGTCTTTATAAATAAAAAGTGTAATCATGATGCTGAATGGACTTGCCATATGCAATGGTAGGGTACTGCTGGGTGCTGCCTGGAAATAATAGCCCGTGTGGCTAGGATAGTGGTAAAAATAGAGCCATAATATGATTTTTCCTGATCATAATCAACCTCAACTAATTGCTCGTGACTCTATTAAAAGAGAAAGAAAACTGTTGTAGTTTTTTTGTTTATGGATGTATGTTGATCAAATTAATGACATTTATTTAATCCTACACTATTAACATTTGGTAAAAAAAAACACTTTTTACTGTACTGTTGCAGCAAACCTAGGTATCTTACTCTAATATTGTTTAAATGGGAAATTAAAGTCTTATTTATGGAAATATTTTAGTAAAAATCCGATCGGACAAATTGAAATTCACTTAGTTTGCAGGTTTACTGTGGCGGGGGTATTTTTGTCTGCTCTGTGAGAGTCCTGTGTTATGTCTTTATGCTGTGACAGTAGTCATAATTTGCCGATTACCCTTGTTGTTGCAGGTTGAAGGAGCCAGCAGTGTTGGATAGCATCTCGGGTCACTACGCCTCGGGAGAGAAGCTGCCTGCGCTGCCATTGGCTGACATAGACAGACACTTTGCTGGACACAGGCTGTGTGAGGAACTGTTCAAGGCACATCTCGACCTGGAGATGTTCACTACGTGAGTGATTCAGTTTATGTTCAGAGCTTATCAGTTATGACGACACTGTCTTTAGCTATAGTTATTGCTATTTTGATTCAACAGTTTTAAACAAGTAATACATTTTTATGTAATCAATAGAAGCAGTTGTTCATTTTCAGCATAGGCCTTGTAGGAAAATAAATGCTGTTCCTTGGTCACTTAATCAGACAACCTAAGGATATCAGCAAAAAAATTGTAGGACAATTATGGGACTGTAAAAAATTCATAGGATGGATTTTCAAATTGAAATTGTTAGCGAGTTGTACGTAACATTTAAGAAGTTGAAGAATAAAACAGTGGAAATGATTAATGTTATACATGCCAGAATATAGAGTTATGATCAAAAGACTAGTGTCTTCAAAAACAAATAAAAATTTGCTTGTGAAAACTTTTATGCACATTGCACTCTAAAAGGTTATAACACAATGAGTCCAATCACGGTCATATTATTATAAAATCAGTTTCCTTAACACAGTTACCTAGATCTGTTTTTATCAAGCATTCCATTTTTATGTGAAAACTTAAAAATTCAAACAAAACTTTTAGGTGAATGTAATTTAATATATTTTTTCCGAATGTCTACAGAAAGGACTTCTGGCAGGACATTATGAAGAAGCTGTGGCCGGCACATTTTGTACTTCCCCATGACAGATGGAACTCACTACCATGCAGGTAACATATTAATATTAATAGAAATATTAAGAGTGACCATACAATCAGGTGTAGCACAGATAAATAAGGAACAGAGGACAAAGTCCAACACCCCCCCCCCCCTCCCTTATGTACTTAAAATGCTCACGGTGGAGGAAGACTCTGTGTGATAGGAATTTCCCCACAGTGCTTGCCAGAAGTATATTTCTGGCACAACATACTATAAGTGAAAGCGTATGGTTGTCCCAAGCGTGTTTCCTCTGTACCTTACCTTGTCTGTGGGTGTAAAATAGATATATGTGTAGGCCTTCTCGTTGACCTAAAGTTTAAATCACAGATTTACGTGAAAGTTTAAACCTGAGGTTACTTCTATCTAAACTAAACATTCTCAATTAGACCTTAATATATTTAAAAGTCAAAAAGTACACCAAAAGTAATATCAAAGAAATTTCTCTCTTGTTACTTTCGGCTTTCAGTTGGTTCCCGTTTCATGCTGTTCTGACGGATCCATGTAGTAATGTGTAATAATTTAGATATACAGTACTCAAGAAATTTTTAGTTAAAGGAAATTAAACGAATGTATCCGTTGTCTGCAGTTTCAGTGAGATAGTAACGGAACAATGGAGTGCTGCTTACTTCAGTCACGTCTGGGCTCGAATGGTGGCAGCCGATGTGTACAGTGCCTTTACTGAGCCAGACGTTGACAAACACAACATCGGAGAAAGGTAAGTTTGATTAATGTTACACTGATTGATCAGTTGATTTGGGCGTATCAGCTAGCTGTTGACATTTTGCGCTCCCTGGAGTGCCACAGAACCCATCTAACTTTAGGCCTAGTTGCTTGATGAACTACAGCGACATGTCTACAAGATCTTCCTGGGAAGACCACACTGAAGTTCCAAGAGTGTTTTCATGGAGTTGTTTTTATATTACTTACTCTATTTAGATCGGTGGTAGCATAGTTTTAACAAAAAGTCTTCTCCTGAACAGCTAACTTTGTGTTGACAGAATGTTTCTTCTAAATAGGATACCTAATCTTTAAAGTGCTCTGTTTGTATCCAATGTGAATGTAGGTCTCAGTTAAGAGTTCAGGTAAATATAGTAGTTTTCATTGTCAGTTTCATTGTAAATTTAAACATTATGAATCAACAGTTTAGTATGTTGTACCTGTGTCAAGTGAGGAAAAGTAATTAGTGATTGAGTTACATAAAGATTTGTAGCCTATTGTTGAAAATATCTTCCTTCACAGAGCTGAATCCAAGGTTGTCTGCCATTAGGTTTAAGGCCATATTTCAGGTGTTATGCAGACCATCCGATACTCCAGGGCAAGCATGAATATCACTCATTTACATTTTGCAGGTGTTTATTGAATTCTGGACAACAGCAAAAAAAAACCATTGATTGTTTAGGTTGACGCTTTTGCAATGCTTTCTTCATGACCTTTAAAATCTTGAATATAAATTCCACGTCAACAATGTAAATAGGACTTTCACTATTAACATTAACAGACAGTGTTATTTTGCACTGTCCTGTGAGAATTATTAGTTTCAGTGATTTTCATTGTTCCAATTTCCATCTTATTCCAGGTTCAGAGACACGTACTTGGCGTTCGGTGGAAGTTGTCCCCCCGGAGAGGTGTTCCGAAGGTTTAGAGGTCGCGATCCTTCACCAGAGGCGTTCCTCAAACACCTGGGTCTGCATTGAAGAGAAATCTTGCAATGGTAATTGTAACTTTAAGTCATCCTGTGTTAATGCAAAGACTTGTAACTTTGTTGGTTGCTGTTTACTAGAGTAGAATGATAATTGTGAACGTTTTTAATCGAAAATTTAAAAATGTATTTGTCCGTTTGAACACTAAAAGATAAACCTCAAAGTATTTAATTATAAAGGAAAGTGGACATGTCATCTATTCTGTATGGATTAGTTGTTGCTAGTTTTCTTTACTTGTTTAAACCGGTTGTTAACATACTAGATCCACTACTGTGGTTAGTGTAGAAATGCCAACTGTGAAATCAGCTGATTTAGCGAGCCTAATTGAGCTATTTTGCATATTGTTTACAGCAAAGTAAATAGTATATTTTTTCACTACTAGTCACGAAAGTGACACATTTCCCCGAAATGGGACTTTCGTGGCGAGAATCAAACGATACTTTTTATCAAAACATGAAAAAAACTACTTCATCAAATAAAAAAAAAAAATGATATTTCATACTATTCATTTTTCCAATCCAAACACAATACGTACAATTAATGTTACTGTAAAACTCAGCTGATTGAACATCAACCATGTTTTAGTTGTTTTTTTCAGTTTATCCTTTTTTTGAACTAACCGGAAACTTCAGTTGCAACTTTGTTGATGTCATGCAAAGTATTGTTTGTGTAGCGAAAGTAATGTTAATGTCAGGAAAAGTCAGCTGATCACTATTTGTTTTTGTGTATGGAAATGGGCTAATAACTAGGATAACAAATTTTTCCTACAGTTACCTAACAATGTACATGTTCTCTCACTGATTTGAGAAAGCAAAGTGGCCAATTCGCTCATCAGTGAGACAATGTTAACATTGTCTCACTCTAATTACTTTGTCTCACTCCAGATTTGCAACGTGAAGGCACGAAATAGTGAGCGCGTAACATGCAGGCAACGTCGTATGCGTGCGAAATACGTTGGCAGCACTGGCTGTAAATCAGCTGGTCAGCTGTTGTACTGTTGTATTTGTCACTTCACATTAAATGTTATATTAAAAGTTCACTTCTGTGTAAAACTAGGTTATGTTTCTTCACCAATTTATTTGTTTTATGGTAACCGTAGGAAAAGTATAATGTGCAACTCGAGTGCAAAGTACAATTGCCTCACTCGAGAAACCATTCCTCACTCGCCTACGGCTCGTGAGTAAGGATTTCTCTCGAGTGAGTCAATTGCTCATTTTTCTCACTAGTTGCACAAATAACTAAAGTTGAGAGTTTTCTACCCAAGAATGAACTGTGAATTTGTAATTTGGGTTTTATATGGAGCAAACAAGATTTGTTGTTATTTCAGTCCAGTATTCTCTTTAAACATTTGTTAATATGTCTTGAATTGATCCTACAAATTGTTTTGTTTCAGATTGTCACCTACTGACTTCCAGGTTGTCTTTATCTAGTCTGTTGATGTTTTCACAACTAGTGAATGATTCTACATGTTGATAAAGAAGTTAAGTTCGTAGAAACCAGAAAAGTAATATTTTCTTTTTTCTATGCAGTTATGTTTATTTATTTGTTGTGTTGCAATGGAACATATGTTTTCTCCAGTACACATTTTGAAAATATTACTAAATCTCCAAAAAATTAGTTTTTTAGGTATTGCTGGACCTAAGACAAATACCAAAAGTTAATCTCAAAATAAAAACATCTTACACATACAATTTTAGGCCAAAATATGTGTAGAGGCCTACTTAAATTGTGCTATATCTTAAATTGACCTCTGAAGGTTTTTTTAGCCAAATTACAGCCCAAGTTTAGGGTTTAGTGTTCTATATAATGTCGAAGTGGTGGCTTGATGGCATGTCTTGACTGAAAATGAACCCTACATTTATTTTCTTAATTTAATTATTTATAATTAATAGTGTGCATATGTCATGTAAAATGGAGAAAGGTGCCCTCAACATACTAGGGCGTACTAGTACTATTTAGAAGCATAACTTTTTAAGGCTTTCTAGGCTTTAATGATGCACAACTATCATTTCTGAAGCCTTATTAAGAGCATTACATTAATAGTATAATTCGTCACTTGAAAGATAAACGGGCGTTGTAATTATGACGTCCTTTTGTTTTCCAAGCGTCAAATTCATCACTTAAGCTATAAATTTTATATTAAGCTTTAAATTAAATCATAGACTCATTTGAAACATGCACCAATAGAAAAAAACCACAATTCTTAGCATTAATTTTCAAAGCTTTTATGTTCATGTTACAGTACTCTAAATACAGTGTTCACAGTTTTTCAAATATGTGTTGACAAATCTGACAACTTAATCTCAAGTTGTTGCCATCGATGGCCTGTAGTTAACATCCAAGAATTTTGAAGGATTTTTTGTAATTTTGTAATCAAATTATGTTTGTCTTAGTTCAAAATGCATTTCACAAAAATTGACTTGTAATTGTTTGTTGTTAATACAAAATTGATCAAACTACTTGATGAATTTTATTTTTTTAACATTGAAATCTTTAAATGGATTGGTTAAGCAGTGCCTTGTTTTATCATCAAGAGCCCAGAGTACTCTTTCAACAACAGCGCTGCGGTTGGATTTGACAAATATTGGAACACACTGGACTACTTAAGTCCGTTTGTTTGAGGGAAAGTTCCCCCTACTACTCTTTTGCTTATCCTAGGGTCCACGAGAGTCTGCTGTTGGCGGCAGCCAATCACAAGACAGGGCTAGTGCGACGTTGCCACATCGCCTGTTGACGACACTAATTAAAATATACCAAACAATATTTTCAAAGCTGGTATTATTATATTTGGCAACAGCGCACAGTCCTCATTGGTTCATTCAAAGTCACGTGGTAAAATAGGCTCCTCCCTTCTGCAGACTCTCATGGACTGTACTGTAGAGTGTATATTTTGCAGCTGATTGACATTATGGCAAACTTCTCTTGAACTATTGTTTTAACGGTAGGATCATGTGGAGGAGATAGATTTCTTTCTAAACTACCTAAATTTTGTGAACGAAGTATAGTTAGATAATGACTCATTATTAATGATCTTTTCTATTAGAAACCAAATTGGCAGAAGCACGAATCTCTTTATGATTGACTAACAGGCAACGTACCTGTTGGATATAGTATACAAACATTTCACTTAAATAATCTATGGTTTATATTTTGTATTGATTTTTCCAGCTGCTATGAAAATATGAACTTTAATAATTTTAACACATATGATTTTTGGGATGAATTGTTATGTTGTAAATACAAGAATAATAGTTTGGTAGCATTTTTACTATGATTGAGTAACTTTTCTTTTGTGAATAATTAAATTATTTTCTGTTCATTATCTAGTCTATTTCTCTTTCCATTTTTGACTTTTAACAGTACCTAACCACTCCATTTAAAGTGTTGATAGTTCTGTGATGTATTGTATAATTCTGTTAATAAATGTATATTTTTATTAGGCTAACATGAATTTTATTTCTTTTCTTCCTTGCTCTTGAAATGAAATAATTTAAATTCAAAAAGTGTTAATTAGCCTATGTATTACTTTAGGGACAGACAATTTAAAGTTTGACATACCCTTAAGGTTAAAATATAAGACATAATATTAAAAAACAAGTTTCATATTTTATTTAAATACTGACACTATCCTTTACCATCTTCCACAACCCATTTTTGAGTCCTAGGACTACACACAACTGTCACCGTTCCTTGACTTTTCTTCTTTTGTAATTTTGAATTCTTGGGAGTCTTGACTACATTTGTTTCAAGAAATTCTGAATTGTTGACTTTCTTTTTTGGACTACTATTTTTATTCTGTTCTGGTGTTTCTTCAGACACGGATATTTTTCTCTTCTTCTCTTCACTATTCACTGTTCTTTTATTTACATTTTTCTCTTCTGATTTTTCCTTCTTGACTTTCACCGCACTGCAAAGAAGTAAAATTTAATTCAATTTCATCCAAACTATACCAAATTAGGTAAGACATCATCCCCATTTTTAAGTTGTTACCTTAAGAAAATAATGGACATGGTTGAATTGAGTTACTGAGTGCACTGAATGTCAATTGTTGATTCCTGCAAAACTTTAAAACCAACCTATATTGAAAGGGCAACTTATTTAATTGTTAACTGACATATTTTATATTGCATCAGATGTCATAGTACCACAAACCTATCAGTGGAAGGAGAACAACTTTGACAGCAGGGTGAATTTTATGAGTCTGTACTACAGTAAAACCCCGACCATGGGGTCTTGATATTACTGCGATAACATTATCACCGATAGGCGATGGCACGGTTACATTATGCAAGGAGTCTGCCATGCCAAGGTCGGATTAGCGAGGTTCTACGGTGTGTTGTTTTTCAATTGGCTACAGTATGTCCATAGCTGGGATTTCTCGCCTACTTTAGTTTCCAAAAGTAGTGGTCTGTGAGCTCTAGGCCTTTTTACGTAAGGTCAGCTATAAAATTATAGCCTTTGGACTTAAAAAAACTAGAGAAAAGTTTGAAGTCACAGCATAATTAAAAACATCCTCAACAGTCAAGACGAAAATATTTTGCCATCACGGCCAAATATTTACTTCTTCCCGGGTCACGGTTGGCCTGACAAGACTCGCAGACCCTTAGAGAAACTCACCTCTTGTAGTCGTACAGTGTGAGACAGGTGATCCTACAGCCACAGTCAGTGGAAGTGACCAGTTGTGGTGCTGAGGTGAGGTCTGTGTTGAGACTGTACACACTGATACGTCCACTACTGGTAGCAGTCACTAAGGAACTTACCTCTTGTAGTCGTACAGTGTGAGACAGGTGATCCTACAGCCACAGTCAGTGGAAGTGACCAGGTGAGGTCTGTGTTGAGACTGTACACACTGATACGTCCACTACTGGTAGCAGTCACTAAGGAACTTACCTCTTGTAGTCGTACAGTGTGAGACAGGTGATCCTACAGCCACAGTCAGTGGAAGTGACCAGTTGTGGTGCTGAGGTGAAGTCTTTGTTGAGACTGAACACACTGATTCGTCCACTACTGGTAGCAGTCACTAGGTGGCCATGCAGGCTGGCCAATCCTCTCACTCTATCGTCACCTGCTAGACTCCACAGCTGAGCGGCAGACGACGGGTTGTGAGCTGTCACTGTGCCCGAAGCTTCTCCCACACAAAACACCTCCTCCTACAGAAACATCATAGTACATTGTGCGGTAAATACCTTCATACCAAGAGATAGGCCTACATGGTAAAATAAATTTTACAACATTAGAAAAATATTAAAAATAAAGGTTTCAGCTTCAAATATTTTTCAAATTTATTTTGAGGCAATGATTTAAAATATACTGCCAATAAGAAAAAATATAGGAATTTGAACTTCTGCATTAGTCATTGATTAAATTGTGCTTATTTAGTTGTTTTCCCTGAGCTTATAACAGAAAAAAGACACAGACCTTAAGGAAGAGCAAAATTCTGGTTTTGAGGTTCAAACTTTGACTATGGATGGGTTATTAACATCCAAAAGTCAAAGGTGCAACCCATCTATCCCATCAACTTCCACCATAGTAGCATCTCCCATCAACAACTTGTCTAAAAGATCTTCAAATGTGTGCGGTATAGCTTTTAGCTGTTTTTGTTGATTACATAATTGTTAGAAAAATTTAGCCATCTTGCGTCCCATTGAAGCTTGAAGAAAGAATATTTATTAATGGGCAAAAGAAAAAGAAATTATTAAAACTAAAACCTTCACCACCTTTTCTCGTTCAACAAAGACTCATCTAGTTACATGATAAGTACACTTACCGACAAGAACACACACGACGTAACTTTGGACTGCAGCTCCAGCGTGTTTAATACACCAGCCTTCTGTGTACTGGTGACCTCCACCTTGCAGTCCATGGGGATGGCAAACAACGTTCCCTCGGGCGACCACACCACCTGCTCCAGCTGACGACATCGGCTGTACAACAATCATGTCAGATACACTTTGACAATAATACATCTACGCATCTCATTATTCTTTACTATTGATGGACGAGTTTGGTTTTTTAGTTCGAGACGAGACAGGATTTTTATTTGTCATAAAATTTTGAGACGAGGTTTCCCTTCTCATACATAACGGGAAATGCAAGTTTAACATAACCCCATCTTGTACTGCAACATTGTTAAATACCTACTGATTAATGACAGATGACTGTTAATTACAAAAATAATAATAGTATGCAAGAATATTTAAAATCTTGTATTAAAAACATCAATAAAAAACAACAGTATAAAAATAAAAAAACAAATATTAATTAGGCCTACCTTGTTAAAATAACTCTTGTTTACATAGGAAACATGGTGATATCAGTTAGAATAAAGGTTAGTTCAACTTTGAAAAGTACAAAATTTATCAGTCTGAAACATCAGTCTTACTATCAAGTAACATTTTTGAAGTGACTTGTTTTGGCTATGTTTACAGTAGTAAAACATGTCTCAACTGCTTACACTTACACATTCGCAAAGGAAACGCAACAATGTGCTCCTGTATTGCGGGTATTGCATTGACTTTTTGAAGGCGTTTTTAATTTTTTTTTTTATAATCTCGTCTCGAAAAAATTTTGTCTTGTAGAACGAGATTTAAAATTTCCTGAAATTTCTAGACACGTCCATCTCTACTCTTTACGCCTGGATAATAGGGGTCTGCAGGTTAAACTTTATTTACTTCGGTCCGTTCAAGTAAAACATGTTGCCCTTTGTCTCGAGCTAAAATTACATCAAGTTGCTTTGGAAAGTGTTGATGTAAAAAAGATATAATTAAAAGGAAATAATGATATTTATTCTTCCCAAAACGACAAATTAGCCTGCAATAATATTAACTAGCTTTCAGTGTTATAATTAATTGTAATACGGTACTGTATTACAAGGAGTTTATTTAACGTTTCAATTACATTATCTGTTGAAATACACCGTGAAATTTTTACATATTTTACAATCACGAAAAAATTGTGACATAGGCTACTTTATACTTTTCAATGAAATAGCGACCATACAAAGTAGGTATTTTAAGCCAAGTATGAATGGAGATGACTGTAGGATGAGTGTCGAGATCTATTTTCGACATGTTTGGCGATCCCTGCCAAATCGTGAACATCTACCGCAGCGTCGATGGAATCTCTTCTGATCTCTTAGTTACTACTTCTACACCTTCTGATAGAGGTGACCCACCTGTACAGATTGGTAGTGTAGGCAGGACGACCTTTGACCAAGTTCCACGTGCGCAGTGTGTGATCCTTCCCCACCGACAACGCCATCTTGCCACTAGGATGAACCGAGAGACTAGTGACAGCTGGAATAAATGGATAGGTTTATTAAAGAAAAGTCAATAGTCCTAAGAGACCATTGATCAATGACAGAACAGGAACACATTGGTACAAACCGTCTGGCCAAATGTGCAAATACTCTAATAGACCTTTTTTGTTATAGTGAATTCTAGATGTTTTTAGGGCTGAAATGTTGCAATTAAGCTTATCTCATTTAGAATCAACTCATTTAGAATCAATAATTTTTATTCATCGTAAAGCGCTATGTACATTACATGCAATAGATGAACGTCATTAGACTAACAGTAGCCAAAAGTTTAAGGCAATATAAGAGCAAACTTACTATAAACAAGTGCAGAGTGTACATACAAAGTATCACAGTCATCATAAAAATAAAATACAGTTAGATTTCCAAATCAATCAAATATTATTAAAAAACAAATATCTTTATTTGCAACATTAAAGAAAACCTGGATTTTCCGGACAAAAAACTTGATGTCTGTAATATTTTAAATGATCAGACCTCTTTTTAGTCAGATATTATATTTGACACATACATTGACAAGTTACAAATCAAAGAAGTATAAGAACAAAGCAAACTGAAATACAGGTGGCACTGGACAATGGAAAGAAGAAGAAACATCATGATTCAGTCAGTTTTATTTAGTCAGTGGCAGTGATAAGACAGTGCTGGCCAGCCTGTACAGTTTTAATCGGTTTATCATTTTTTTTCATGACAAGTTTTAATTAAATTGTGATTGTGACAGTCTTTTAAAGAATCCATTGACATACCAAAATGTATTCATACATTAATGATGTGGTTGCATACTAATGACCTGACAACATTCTAAGGAACAAAACTAGTCGTCATATGAACAACTGTGGTTGGATAAGAAGGTAATTATTTTATTTTATCAACAATATATTCCAACCAACGGTCACAATGAATAATATAATGTAATATCTTTGAAATGAATCTGCTGTCTTTTATATTGACTTATTGTAGTTTAGACTTTTTTAAATTTGAAGTTAAGCCTACTTTGGGAGTTGAGAGCAGAAGTGAACCGATTTTTAAGTTAATTTTAACTTCTTCGGTCTAGTCTTATTGTACATTTTACATAACTATTCGACTGACCAGTTCCTTTGTGAGCGTTCGGCCACACTTTCTCCATCTGCCAGCTCCCCTGTCTGAAGATCTTGATGGAGCCGTCTTCACTCGTGCTGATCAGATGTGAACCGTCTGGAGTGAAGCTCAGACTTGTGATTGTACCTGTAGCAGACAACTTGTGAACCAACTTAACAAATTCCATGATGCCTCTGGATCAAGATAATGCAAGATTTAATCTTTTCACAGATAGCTAAAAGCAGTTGGTGATTGACGGGATTTGAACCTAGTTCTTCTAAGAAGGAATCCTGAGCTCTAACCACTACACCAGTTCCACCCTGCTTGTATGCCATAAAATATAGAAGGCAAATACCAGGTGTTAAAGCCCTAAATATATTTGAATAGGCCTAAACATAAAGGCCTGCAAAATCAACATTATTTTAAGGCGATATTAAGACACATGTCCCAGTTTATACTATCAGTATCAGGTAGGCCCTAATCAGATTTTGTAATGTGAAATTCTGAAACTTATAATATTAAACATCTGTGTGTAATAAGCAATATTAGATAAGTTAGGTCTACATTGGTATTCTAATTAAGTTAGGTAAGTTCTAAGGCAAATATAATTGTAGGCCTATTGCATAACAGAGTGTCTGAAGAGTACATTTTTCATGTCTACTAATTCACCTTTATGGTTGTATCAACAGCTTTTTGCCCTGTAAGAATCTCACTCCTAGGTAAATCACAAATTGTTTACCAATAATGCAACTCACTTAAGGCAGCTTCAGCGAATGACACAAGCCATGCAACTTACTAGTAGGTAGTCTGGCACATTTAGATCACGACTTTAGGGAGTGGTATTGAAAAGGCAATACCTACCTACAGTAGACCCCCTCTTAACCGACCCTAATGGGACCGGACCTAGGTCGGATAACGCAATAACATGATGAAGTGCTATTCATTTGGAATTATATAATCATTATTTTGAAGTCATACTAGCATTATTTATAAAATAAACTACTCTTATCTCCTTTTTCATATTGGTAGAAAAGTCACAAATAAACACAAAACACGGTTAAGTCAAATAGGCCTACTTTCAGTGGAATATATTATAATACTAGGCAAGAGTCAATAAAATTCCTATTTTAATAACTTTAGTACTGCAATGTATTAATTGATGCTTTCCAAATACATTGTAATACAGTACAGAACCTTTTGTTGACATTAGATACAAGCGACCATTTTGTTACAAGACAGGACGTTTATTTATAGCCTCTCACTGGAGTCTCGAGGCACAAAAACTATCTTGACCTTGGATTGGTTAACCCCCCATCCCTACAAGTTGCATTGTTTGTTTACTCCGGCGATAAGATAATCAGTTCTCAAAATCGTGACGCACTTTATGATGTTATAAATTTGCCGCGCAGATAAGTTTAACAAATCAGATCAGATGTGCTCGAATACAGATATAGCTACGAACGATGATGACAAACTGACAATAGGCTATGCTATATTTTTTGTGATCAACACAAGTAACTTATTGTTAATCATATCCTGTGGAGATAAGCGTATGGTTCAGTTCTCATCGCCCAGCGTGGGAGCGGAAATGCCGAGATTCCTAGAAAGCGGTGGTTAAACCGAGCTGCTCTCAAAGCAAGGTCGGTTAAAACAAACTGCATTATTTTACGATCGAAGGCGGATAATCCGAGTATCGGTTAATACGAGGTCGGTTAAGAGGGGGTCTACTGTATTTTGATAAAGCAATTTTTTTCTAGTGACTGCTCTAGAAGAACTAGGTAATGAAACCAATCAAAATCTAATGTAGTGTTAAAAATATATGAGAGTGATCAGTACAGTACCGTACATTAGGTTAATGAGGTAAAATTGCAACTCTACAATTCCATTAGAAATCTTCAAAAGAAAGGCTCTGCATTACCGTTGTGTTCCATGAGCATGCCGCACTCCCTGCGTGTGAACATGTTGTAGATGTTGATAGTCTCGTCAGCTCCACCTGACACCACCAGCTTGCCATGACTCGCCACAGACCGCACACTTGCTCGGTGGGAGTGTGTGGCAAACGCCTGACTTAGCTCTCCCTGTAATCATACGTCGGTTTTTATCATTAAGTCAACCATTTTGATCACATGGTCACATCCTTCATACCTTTGTATTACAGGCCTGGTTTCTTAATCTTAGGCCTATCTTGTTTTTTTAAACACCTAGTCTACAAAAGTTGCCTCAAAATTTACTGAAAAATCCAGTCATAATCTAATAGTAGGCCTAGGTGGCCTAGTGGTTAACTTATGGTATAACTTAAAACTTTTAAAGTTATTTTTTTAAAGTCCCATTAGGCAGTTTATAGTGATTTGAGTCATGGTTGAAATACTTATATGTTTTGGTTGCCACTTACCCTCCTTTTACGCTGTATGGTTTTTGCATTCCAGTTCAAACCTATAGGCCTACGATTTTACGTTTCTGTTTCTATTTATTTTGCATTAAACCTAAGTTAAGTTAGGCTACATGGTTTCTGACCTTAGGCTATGGCAAGATAAATGTCTGTAATTCTCAATTCGCCAACAAGCAATGAAATGAACCGTTTTGGCTTTTTGACTATAGGCCCAGCGTAACTTAAGTAGGCCTATATTTCATAAAAGTCGTAAAAGGGATCGTATCAATGGGTATTTTTAATAAGCTAAAGACCATGAAAAATTTACATTGCTCCAGGATTTATCCCATAACATTGATGATTTTGATTTAATTAGGTGGACTAAGTTAGATTTACAGTGTTCACATTTTTTATTTGTTTTGAAGGGAAACTAAATTAAGTTTACATGCTGGAGAGGACATGGGATCCTAGAACAGCCTTAGTTCGATGGGATTTTGGCTCCCTGGACTGAAACCACATCACAAAACTAAGTTAACTAAAATAAAAAACATACACAAGGTCCAATTGAAAGCCAAGCAGACTACCATCCGACTAAAAACCATGCAGTGCGCAAATCGCAAAGGAACCCCAATAGTAAACTGGCAAAAACTGTCAGGTCAATCTTACAGGAACCGGTTGAACGTACCGGTAGCTTATTGGCAAAAAATAAATCAAAAGATAGGCTAGGTTAAGCATAGGGCCTATGTAACAACTAACCTACTCTGGGGCTAGGGCTACTTTAAAACTATTAGCCTAACTTAAACCTGTGATACATTTGGAACGTTAGCATGTACTTACCGTGCATTTATCATCATTTAAGTAAAACTGGTATCCAAGAACGAATTCCTCGTAGGTTCCTACAATAACCTCAAACTGAATGCAACCTTTCTTCATAGTTTTCGCTTGATTCTATCTGCCTTTTATTTTATTTATAAATACAGATTTATAGTTGGTAAATATATTTTAAAACCAATATTGTTTAAAAAAAAAACTACCAAACAAACTTAGTATTATTGAGAGTGGAACTAAAGACACAAAATAACAAACAATAACATGACCCAGCGACCCAGCCCAGAGTTGAACAGTTGAACAGTTCAGTTGAGCAATGCAGTGCAGTGCAGACCGCAGTCCGCTCCGCAGACAGACAACGAGAACAGAACATGTGGTCACAGACTAATACAATACTGTTCCGTTCCGTTCCGTAGTCTGTGGTTTGGTTTGGCGGACGAAATAAATAACCCAGACTGCCAGCGACGTGAAGCTGGCGCACCCATTCCAGCACACTTTTTTTAATACCTACATACAAAAAAGTGGGCTAAAAGTGTGCTCTTTATAACGGCTTCTAAAAAAGTATGCTCTTCTAATAATTATGATATCATCATATTGTATTTGGGCAGGTCAGAATCACGGCTGGCCCCCCATTTCAGCTACAGTCTTTTATAAACCATGCCAAAAAACTGTGCTGAAAGTGTGCTCACAGGAATCATTAATAAAAAAAGTGTGCTATCCCCGTTACTAAATAACCCCTAATTGGTAAGGGTAATAAAATGACTCAGTCCACCCATTTCAGTTACAGATCTATAAAACCATGGCAAAAAACTGCCAAAACCAAGACGTTGTATAAAAGAAGTTTTAATTTTAATCCAATCAATCATCGTCCCTCAACTCTAAGCCTATACATTAATAGTTCCCGATGTCGTCATACCCCGACATACCCCGATGTCGTCTTGGTATGACACAGCGAGCGTATCCTCAGTCAGCCCTGAAGATTTTTAATGCTCTACCGGATGAGGTGAAGAACCTGAACCCGAAGGCTTTTAAGAAAAGACTGAAGGATTGCTTAGTGAAAAGGCCGCTCTACTCTCTTCAAGAGTTACAAGATGGGTCTCTATTTGAGCAATAAAAAGCCTCAACACACTTCTGACGCAGTCTATCCAATTTTCATTGGTCAACGACGAAGAAGTAAGTTCAAATTTTCAGAGGGGGCCGTATTTCACGTCCTCCCACTTCACCAACTCGAGTCTTGTGGTTTGAAGTGAAGGAAATTTATGAGTCTATTGCTAAATGAGATTTCGTCAGAAAATACAAAAAGAAACAAGTCAAGCTTTTCAAAAGTGGCTTCAAAAGTTTTAAAATATAAGTATGCTAAATGAAATTTTAATATAATACAAAACCATACTGCTAATTGAATCGTTGAATGAATGTTTGTATAATCAATGCAAAATACGTTATACACCAAGTTCCTTACCGTATGCTGTTTCTAAAATTTTCTCACGTAAGGAAAAAAGAATACGTCACATAGCATAGAACGAAAACGAAACCGTCCGTGGCGGTGGCTTATGTCGTAAGTCGTTTTGTCTTGTGTGGTGGCGTTCGTTGGCGTTAGTAAATTAAATTTCAACAATAACTTTTAATTGAGGGCAAAGCAGCGGGTTGTGAACATTTTCAGAGTTTATTGATATTTATGGAGTGGGCTGTTGGATTTAAGGAATAATTGTTTTAGATCACCAAGTCTCTACCAGCATTTATTCGAACAAGGAGGAAAATTGTTGTTATTTAACCTAACACTTGGAAACAATGTACAACATTATCTTTTAAGAATATAACACAAAAGGCTCAGTTCTGACAGGTATTCTCGAAGTTTAATATTCCTCATAGTTTTTACTGATCCTAAGCCAAGATGGAGATGGGTGATATGAATAATCTCGATCGTCAAATTGAGCAACTAAAAAAGTGTGAGATTATCAAAGAAGCTGAGGTTAAAGCACTGTGTGCAAAAGCAAGGGAAATTTTGGTTGAAGAAAGTAACGTACAGAGAGTAGACTCTCCTGTCACTGTTTGTGGTGATATTCATGGTCAGTTTTATGATTTAAAAGAGCTGTTCAAGGTTGGTGGAGATGTGCCAGAAACTAATTACTTGTTCATGGGCGATTTTGTGGATAGAGGCTTCTACAGTGTTGAGACGTTTCTCCTTCTCCTCGCTCTGAAAGTTCGTTATCCAGATAGAATAACGTTGATAAGAGGAAATCATGAGTCTCGTCAAATCACCCAAGTTTATGGATTTTACGACGAGTGCTTGAGGAAATATGGCAGTATAGCTGTGTGGCGATACTGCACCGAGATTTTTGACTATCTAAGCTTGTCTGCAATTATTGATGGAAAAATATTTTGTGTTCACGGAGGACTATCACCTTCCATTCAAACACTGGATCAGATCAGAACAATTGATAGGAAACAGGAAGTTCCTCATGATGGTCCTATGTGTGATTTGCTGTGGTCTGATCCAGAGGATACTCAAGGATGGGGAGTAAGTCCCCGAGGAGCTGGTTACCTGTTTGGTTCAGATGTTGTTGCACAGTTCAATGCGGCCAATGATATTGACATGATATGCAGAGCGCATCAACTTGTCATGGAAGGCTACAAGTGGCATTTCAATGAAACTGTGTTGACCGTTTGGTCTGCTCCCAACTATTGTTATAGGTGTGGGAATGTTGCAGCTATCTTGGAACTAAACGAACACTTGCAGAGAGATTTTACAATATTTGAAGCTGCTCCTCAAGAAAGTCGAGGTATTCCATCAAAGAAGCCACAAGCCGACTACTTTTTATGAGAGCAAGCATTTTTTGAAGAGTGTATGGACGATCTAAAAAAGATTTATGAATGCTAAAAGGATTTCTATCAGTAAGATGTTAAGTTAGCCTTTTTTATAACTTAAAAGTATACGTTAATTTAAAAGTGACTCAGTGAGTGTTGTGAAGTTATCATGTTAGTAACTTAACTTAACCTAGATGAGAAACAGATATCAGTAGCAGGCCTACATGTAGACTGTAGGCCTAACTACAGGTTTATTCGTGAGACTACATATTAAATTCAACCTACATCTTCTTCTTCTATGCCTACTGTACCTAAAACTATATTATTGGTAAGTTTGTATACATAACTTATTTTATTTTGTTATTGACTTAACTAAGTTAACGGAACATGAACAGATCACCTTCAGTAGGGGCTACACTAAGTTTATAGGATAAAGTTATGAAGGATTAGGGGATAGGCCTATTTTATTTGATAAGTTATACCGTACTTAGGTGCTCCACACAGATTTTTAAAAGTTCATAGATTGCCTATCTTAATTTGGAACTTAGTTAAATACTTTAATAAAATATAGTAAACCATTATTTTTTATTGCAAATGAATAAGTTAATAAGTTACAAGGTGATAACTTAGCCTAAGCAGGCTAACGACTGGTTCAAATATACAACTTTTGGAAGTCTGTCATGGCATTTTAGGCCTAATAGCTCACTTCAATATTACTAATGTCTGAGCAGAAATGCTACTGTTTTTGTTAACAGTCTGCAGACGACTTGTCCAGCTTGTCGGAGATGCAAAATTTTCAGTACGGCCGATCTATGTAATTGAGGTCAAAAATATCGAATTTCGGGTTTTTATCGATTATTATAGGCTACCTCATTTAACATAGAACATGACAGTATCGGTTAAAATCTCGAATTGAAGATGCGAAAGGTCAAAATAAATCATTTTGTTAGCCTCTGCACGGTCTGAGAAAAGGTACCTCTTGTTGCTCAATGTTATTTCGCCATAACGACAAGAGGTCTCATTTCTAATATTAACTTTTTAAACAGATTTTAGTCCAAAAAATTAATTGTCCTGCATTCTAGTGAATTTAGAGAACAACAACAAAGTTCAGTTCACGAAGAACAAAATAGGCCTACTATATCTCACAAATTTTGTGGTCCCTACAAGAGGTACCTACCTTTTCTTATCTTATGGCGAAATAACATACTGCCGACAAGAGGTCCCTTTTCTGAAATGCGATTTTGACGACATGCTTAAATAAAACAATTATTTAGCCTAAATGAAAACTACCGTGAGTTAAGAAGCAAAATTGCTTTTCTTTCAAAGAGGACATTATAAAAGCTTTCTTTTGATATCAAAATTGTTCCTTAAATAGGTACGAAAAACACTGTTTTTATGCGTATTTGAAATTTTCAAAACAATTTTTCTCAAAATGACCCTTTTCCATAACAAAATTTCAAAGTCCTATAACTTTAACAAAAAAAAATCATACATGCGTGGGACTTGCACCAATCGATTCGGAATTTAATAAGGAATTCAAATATATACATAGCCTAACTCAAAATCGAAAATTCCCGACAAGAGGTCCCTATTAGCTTTCCACATCACATATGGTAACATGAATATCTCTAGCACTGTATTTTGTCTGCAAAGAAATGTTTAACAAGTCCTGTCATTGCAACGTCCCACCATTTGTGAAGCGGGCTCTGTGATCAGATATTTGCTGCTAAAATTCTCACGCCTATTGAAATTTATCAAGTTTGAAACTCTTTCTAGCTAAGAAGTGAAGAGTGAAGACCGAATGATCAGCGGTTAGTTTAAAAATGGCTTAAGAATTGTTTTCACTTTTGTTGTAGGTAGTCTTTCAGGAATGTCTGAGCTGGAGCAAGTGTCAGCTTTTTTTTCGTAAGTTAAGATCATTGGAACCCACCGGTCACAAAATTTGTGCATAAGAAAAATGTCACTGTTGACTTTCACTGTGCAGTGCCAGTTCAACAGCCACTAGACAAGGCCTAACATGCAACCCTGATTGTGGATATTTTTTGGATATTTTTAAAAAGTTAATGCTCTACTGTGTCTGTGTCACACAGCCTTTACTGATCAATCCTTTGCCATAAACATTACAAATCTGGGATAAATTTAAATTCGCTTATGAGTTTTAAAAATCAACAAATAACTGATCACAGAGCCCATCTGACAACTGGTGGGATTTGCAATGACAGTGCTAATATGCATTGCAGACAAAACAAGAGATATAATACACACTCTCTTTTGACTAGATGCTTACTGAGTGTAGAAATGCTCTGATGCCAAGAGTTGGCTGGCTTCTAGCGGTGGTAATGCAAAATGTCTGTTTACTTTCGTACAGGCCTCCTAAGCAGATTTGTTGTTTTTTTTTTTTTTTTTTTTTGTATACATCCTAATACATCACAATCCTACATGTTTTTAGCAAAAAAGAGCCTTAAAAAGAAAAATCTTGGTACTAAAAATATAAAAAAGGTGTTGTGTGCAATACCTATTAAACTCATTATTTTGCTGTAAACTTTACCCGACTCGGTAAACTACAAGTAAATACCTCAAAGCTTTTTTTTTAAAGAGGTTGGCGGCCTCTAACCTCTCCTTTAATCCTTTAACCTTGCATTTGCCCGTCCACATAGACTAACTGCCCGTGCGTGGAACGTATCCAGCAAAGCAAAGATGAGCCGGTACAGTACAAAGGTGAACTGTACTGATAAAATGTTTTCGGCAGTCACCAGGATCCGAACCCACGACATCGCTGCCTTGGGGTACACTTCCATATCTGTTGGCACAAACAACCGAATGAGTAATATTTATTATTTGATTGTTTAATTCGATATATCGTTTGGTTAGTTTAGGTTAACGTTACCTAACTAACCAAACGATATATCGATCGATATTTTCATTCGGTTCTTTGTGCCAACAGATATGGAAGTGTACCCCTGCCTTGGGCCCAAAGTCCGTGACGCTACCGACTCATCTAGTGCTACTCTGGTTAGTGCGACACCTTAGCCTAACTGAGCCACTATATCACCGTTGGTTGGCCAGGCTGGGCCAGTAAAGCCTGGAATGCAAAACTAGTGCTTGTAACCTTTTTTTTTTATTAATTTTAATAGTTATAGGTTAATTGAACTAAGCCCAGGTTAACTCAGAGAAGGGGGGGGGGTTGGTACTCAAAACTTTTAAAGAGTCACAATGACATAAGGGATCCTCTTCGGGAAGGCGCCACCTTGTTTACTGCAGAACGTCCACCGGCCAACAAGGAAGTCCAATGGCAGTACAGGGTTGAGATTAAAAGGTTTACCCTCGAGGACCACTTAACTTATCATTCAGACCCACTTACTCATTTACTTAGGCCTAGACAATTTAATGTGTTAATATGGCTAATAGTAATTGCATGAGCGTGAGGAGCAAGATTAATTTGTAAGGAAGCGTCTAAAGTTGTTTTTAAACACAGTAGGAAATATTAATATAGTGAAAACACAACAATTAAATTTAAGTTACAATAGTTTAATAAGAAAAGTGAAATTTAAGAGGATTACACATCTGCAGATCTTAAAACAAAATTTAATGATTGTCGAACCTATTATAACAGTATGATAGGAAACAATAACTCAACGCTCAACAATGATGATTTAAAAAAAAACTTAATATTGGTGGCCACCTTAACTTGAGTCGAATAACTCTAAAATATAAATTAGGTAACTTACGGTTTCATAAAAAAATAAAACATGAATTCAACTAGAGACCTAGGCCTAACATGTCTACGCATAAATTAAGACAAATATCACAATTAAACAGAAAGAAAAGAAATACAAGTTAAAATATCAGTTATCGTTAAGGGATCAAATTGTCCGAAGAAAGAGAAATACAGAATAATGATTTATGATAGGTAACTTATTGATTGTCTACTTAGCGGTAAGGCGTATCAGGTCCTTCACAAAACTGTAAATGACGAGACGAACAGAATTCCATTTTGGTTTGACTAGTAGGCTTAGTAGGTAGGCCTAGTCATCGGACGGTGAGCATGTCTCATCCAGCAGGTACGGACATCTCCCGAGCCAGCATTCCCCGTACATATCCCTAGAAAAGGGCCTCATGAATAGTAACAATCTTATAACACAACGGTATAGCAGTCTCACACACTGTCTTTGGTAAGTTAATATTTCACATCAGTCGATGACTGTCCATGTAACAATTATTAAATTCATTAACAGCTTTAAAATAACACAGCAAAAGTTCAGTCTTTTGAAATCACAAGCTATAAGGCACTAGAGTTTTGAACAATACTGTCTGTCTGAATGGCCTAAACTAACCTATCAAACTTGTTCTCAAGTCTTTGGTCCATAGTACATAATTATGCATAGCACCACACAATACATTACATACATTAAATAAGATTCGTTAACAAATTAAATCCTAACATTCGACAATATTATACTTACAACATGGACCCAGCTCGTATAACCTAGAAACTAAACATTTTACACATAGTCTATTTAAACACTTTGAAAGATAACACAGAATAATCCATAGGCCCTACATTTTAACAATTTCAGTGACTTTGTAGGCTACTTTGCCAAATTTAAGACAACTGAACTTAGGCCTAGCACAAGTTAAAGTCAAAAGGTTCGTTAAGCAACTTTAGCCTAGGCTTTAAGGCAAAATTACAAAATAGGCTAGTAACAGAATCAAATCTCAGAGTGAACGGGAAAGCCGTACTATCAGAACACATTTAAAAACAGACGTTACCAAATTTAAGTATAGACTTTAATAACAAACAATTTGAGAACAAATTTAATTTACTAACCTAAAGAGCTGGACCCAAAATGAGTCTGAATGACTGAGGTGGATTTTTGTAAGACAATGTGGGACATAGTATTAGCATACCCATCTCAAGAAAACCCTAAATAACAAAATGTTACAACATAATCCCCCAAAATATGTAATAAAAAGAAACCTTACCTCGAGGGTGATTTGATTTAAGTAAATTTAGTTGACACTTTAGTTGAAAACATCTTGAATTACAAAAAAATCAACTTCTCATTTTTTTGTCTTCGTCACAAAATCATGGCTAGAGGAGAAGAGGGAGGAAGCGTCGGTTTCAGTCCACAAATCCATCGAGTTTCATTATTGAGTCCAACCACCAATCAGAGGTCTACAACTTTATCGATTGAGTGAAGATGGGATGTAGCAACCGTTGGAGCGAAGAGTATGAAGTGGTAGAGGCGTACTATATAAAATATTTTACAGTGACGAAATGAAATTCAGAATGCGGTCAGGCAGTCGATGCGCGCTTAAAGACTGAGA